AACAATCTTTCTGAGATTTTGTCCGTCCACGTACGTTCACTTAAATCCAGCTAGCCATGGCCTATGAGCCAGCCAATTACAAGAAAGAATCTTATAATGGACTGTATTTGTTCGTGAAATTTTTGTACTTTTTTTGCAAAATTTCCGGGTTTTTTTTGCGAAATTTTCGCATTATTTTCGCATAATTTTTGCAGTATTTCGCGAAAATTTCGCAATTCCTACTACGCGAAACAGATTGAAACGAAATTTCGCGTAACGATTTTCGCTGGAAACCCTAATGTAGAATTGACAACACTAGAACGCATTTTGAATTTTTTGATATCACAAAAGACGCTAACTATGATTTTCCATGTTTCTCACTGATCAGTTAAATTGACTTAAAATTTAGCATAGTATCTGTGAAAGTTTGATTTTTCGCCGATGGCTTTTATTTTGATAAAGAAAGATAAAAAAGAAAATAATAAAATTCCATAGAAAACTAAAACCCAATAGATGAAATTGATTAAGCCATCAATTTCCACTGATTTCTCTTTTAAAGATATTTTAAGAAATCCTTTGAAGAGATTTTAAAGTGTTCTTTTCACACCGCCGCAGCATTCAATTCAGAATTTAGAATTAAATTTAAAATATTGAATCAAATTTTAATTAAGAGAAACTAGAGAGTTTCAAAGAGAGCTAAAATATTTTAACATGGACTAATTAGGGTTATACTTATGTTTTTTCTAAAAAATTTTGAAGAACGGTTTAAATAATGAAATACAATGAAAGTTAAATGTTTTGGAAAGCGTTCGGTAACTTGTTTTGTTTTTTCCCCATATTTATTTCCAAATTGACAATATCATTAGAATATGTTATTTTTTTGCAGTAAAAATAATAATGATGGATATAATTAATAACATTATTATTCTATATATTGAGGAATGAAACCAATGATATTGTTGCTCAAACAAGACAAATGATTATACCAGTACTTACCAACTTAGTCTAGAAATTGTCGGGACTTTCATTTCCAGCTTATTCTGTCGAAAGGATCAGAAAAGGGTTTAGAGTCAAGGTATATAAGATGCAAAATAGTTTCTTTCGCAAATTTTTATTGTAGGCCAGATCTCTTTAAAAGAAATATAATGTCGTAATATTTCGTTTTTTTGTAAATGAATTATTAATGCACGTTCGATATTTATCAGGACTGGATATCTGAGCTGTAACTTGATATCTATCTGGGAGGGGATATCTGCGCTCTAACCTAGATATTTATCAGGACTGGATATCTGAGCTGTAACTTGATATCTATATGGGAGGGGATATCTGCGCTCTAACCTAGATATTTATCTTGGACAGGATATCTACGCTCTAACCTGGATATCTATCTGGGAGGGCATATCTGCGCTCTAACCTGGATATCTATCTAGGACGGGATATCTGAGCTCTTACTTTGATATTTATCTAGGACGGGATATCTGCGCTCTAACCTAGATATTTATCAGGACTGGATGTCTGAGCTGTAACTTGATATCTATCTGGGAGGGGATATCTGCGCTCTAACCTGGATAATTATCAGGACGGGATATCTGCGCTCTAACCTAGATATTTATCAGGACTGGATATCTGCGCTCTAACCTAGATATTTATCTAGGAGGGGATATCTGCGCTCTAACCTAGATATTTATCAGGACTGGATATCTGCGCTCTAACCTGGATATCTATCTGGGAGGGGATATCTGCGCTCTAACCTGGATATCTATCTGGGACGGGATATCTGCGCTCTAACCTGGATATCTATCTGGGAGGGGATATCTGCGCTCTAACCTGGATATCTATCTGGGACGGGATATCTGCGCTCTAACCTAGATATTTATCTTGGACAGGATATCTGCGCTCTAACCTAGATATTTATCTAGGAGGGGATATCTGCGCTCTAACCTAGATATTTATCTTGGACAGGATATCTGCGCTCTAACCTAGATATTTATCTAGGAGGGGATATCTGAGCTATAATCTAGATATTTATCTAGGACAGAATATATGTGCTCTAACCTATATATTTATCTAGGACGGGACTTCTCAGCTCTAACCTAGATATTTATCTAGGACGGGATATCTGAGCTCTAACTTTGATATTTATCTAGGACAGGATATATGCGCTCTAACCTTGATATTTATCTAAGACGGGATATCTAACCTCTAACCTAGATATGTATCTAGGACGGGATTTCTCAGCTCTAACCTAGATATTTATCTTGGACGGGATATCTGCGCTCTAACCTAGATATTTATCTAGGACGGGATATATGCGCTCTAACTTTATTATTTATCTAGGACGGGATATATGAGGGCTAACCTAGATATTTATCTAGGAGGGGATATCTGAGCTCTAACCTTGACATTTATCTAGGACAGGATATCTGACTTCTAACCTAGATATTTATCTAGTACGGGATATCTGAGCTGTAACCTAGTTATTTATCTAGTACTGGATATCTGAGCTCTAACCTTGACATTTATCTAGGACAAGATATATGCGCTCTAACCTTGATATTTATCTAGGACTGGATATCTAACCTCTAACCTAGATATTAATCAAGGCGGGATATCTAACCTCTAACCTAGATATTTATCTAGGACGGTATATCTGAGCTTTAACCTTGATATTTATCAAGGACGGAATATCTAAGCTCTAACTTTCATATTTATCTAGGACGGGATATCTGAGCTCCAAAGGACGGATGGAAGAATTGTTCCGAGTAGTGAGGTTTATCCTCCAAACTCTGCAAACCTGAGAAGAGATAAAGAACGATCAAGGAAACCTTAACATTAAATTTGAACCCCAATCTTTTGATTAACATAAAACCTGAAACCCGATCTAATGTTTAAGCTTAAACCTGAAACTCGATCTAATTTCGAAGAGTTAAACCTGAACCCTTATTTAATATATACGTAAAGTTTAACCCTAATCTTAAAGCTTATTATTGAAACTAGACCCCAATCTAACAGCTAAATGTTAAACCTACATCTTATTTTTCATAACTGGTCAAGCATTATTCTAAAATAATATGTATTAATAGAACCTTAAACCTTTCAAATCGAACCTTACATATAGCCATTTTACACTAATTAAACAAATTAAAAATAGGCTTATACCAAAAGAGAATAGACTAAATATTAGAGTTGAATTTAGACAATCCCTTGAATTTTGTCAGTTCAAAAATTATATGCAGTAGAGTACATTAATACAGTTTGTTCCCCAGACTAACCATTTCAATTTAGATTTTTTTAAAGCTGTTAAATAAACTTTATAAAATGAACTAGGTGAATAAAAAACATCATTTGATTTTAGTCATCGTTTGTAAAATGAAAAGCATAAAGTCTATGTGAAATGATCATTATTTAATTATGAAACCAGCCTATTTAATAATTTGGTTTTCTTTTAATATTAATTTTAAGTTTTCTATAAAATGATGTTCCAGGGCCAAAAGGTTATATAGCACAAATATGTGAAGTACACCTTCAGTATGGAAACAGTACAACAAAATGGCCGTTTTACACTTTTTTCTAGTAAATTCCACTCTAATATATAATCTACTCTCTTTGCTTATACCATAATGAAATTATAATTACATTACAAATTTAATCCAATTTTAACTAATCTTTCTGTGTTGTGCTTTATTTTTTAAGATTTAAATCACATTTTATAATTCATGGTCGAGGTTTCAGTGGGAGGGATAGTTCCAGTTCTAATGTGAAAGGGACAGTAAGCTTAATTTCATGTGACGCTCTGTGCCAAGATGGCAATGGTCGATTTATAACGATACCCTTTGTCTGATCAAGGTTAAAAAGATTTTTATGTTTTTCAATCTTACCACTGTTTATTTTCATTTCTCGGTTTCCCTGCGAAATTTTTTTTGTGTATTTCTGGATTAGAAGACGCCATGGAGAAACTCATAGAAGTAACCACTTTTGTAGTCAGAAAAACGACGTTATCATCCACATTTTTTGATCAGATTAAGGTTTCACGGGTACCGTTTCAAGTTGGGAATTGCCATCTTTGCATGGAGGGTCACTTAAAATTACACTTACAGTCCCTTTAACTCAAAGAAAATGAGAAATTACAAAGCTCTCAATAATGGATTATAGAATAATCGAAACATTCCTTTAAAATATTCTAATTATAATCTTGAACAAAAATGTTAAAATACTGAAAAAAATTCATCTATTAACGGAATAGATTGAATTTGAATGGAATACTCAAACATCTATAAAGCGGAGATTTTGAATTATAAATATCAACAAAAGGTATCGAGCTCCGACTGCAATTTGCCCACTCAATGATGAGAGATAAAGACGACTGATTATGCAAAGACTGGAGCTTTTCAAATATATAATTCAAAGATATTTTAAGTTTTCAGCTTCAGCTTAAATGCATTACAGGTTGCATCAATGTTTCCACTTTTCACAATTTAAAGAGAAGGAATTTATTTCTCCGCAATGTACTTTGATAAATTAATTTGTTGCTGAGAAAATACTTTAGCATTAGGATCTCCGTAATTTGGAAAAGTAAACTTTTATTTTATTTCAAAGTTAAAAGCATAAAACAATAAATTCTACTTTTTGTGACTTCAACTGTAAAAGGGAGAACACAAAGTAGATATCTTAATCTTTATACTTTTTTATTAATGAATGATTATTAGATTGTTTATCGAAACAAAATTAAATTTTTTCATCAAAGATTAGAAAGATAGCTTGAGAAAATATTTAGCCGAATAGACTTAGCTCAAAATCTTTCCTTATGAGAGTTATCTATGGGGTTTATCATAAATTATGTCAAAAAAAAGATAAAATAAATATTTAATGTTTTGGGTTGCAAAGGTTACTGAGTGTTCTGCCAACCTTTGATGATAGTTCTGTGAACAACAGTTTAGTGAATGTAAGGATCGGAGAAACTATTCATCTTAGCTGCAGAATATTCATGTTACAGGTAAACTATTCATCTTAGCTGCAGAATATTCATGTTACAGGTAAACTATTCATCTTAGCTACAGAATATTCATGTTACAGGTAAACTATTCATCTCAGCTACAGAATATTCATGATACAGGTAAACATTCAGACCGGGCACTTTTAATTGTCGCAAACCATTTGTCCAAGTCAGCTTTAGCTTTTTTAAGACTTGAAAATGAAGATTTAAATCAAAACACATTTTTTTCTAGATTCAGTCTTAAAGTTTTCATTCTTTGTCTAAATAGATGTTAACGTCAGAAAGCACAGTTTACTAAACATAGGAGATTTTCAATTGAAAAACAACTTTCTCTAAGATGCATTTTCTTTACAATAAATTTACAATATACATATTTATTCGTTTATAGATTTCATAACAAATTTTCCAAATGCTAGAGAAGATGTAAAAACATTGTAAACTTAACTCGGAGTTTTACCCTAGGCAATAAACTGAAATTATATACATTTCCATCTTGTTTAAGAATAATTCTGAAAAATATTTTTTTTCTTCATTTTTTATTTATGTCAAAAACCAGAAAGAATGATTTAAAATGTTTGAAATCACAAAAGCAAAATCAAACTGATTTACCGGGATCCTTTACAAACTTCCCAAACCTGTTATTCATGTTATATAAAGTATCAAAAACTTTTTTATATAAAATTTAAAAGTAAAAAACATCAATGCATCAATCATTGTGTACAACATTTAGAATTTAAATTGGCCTTTACAGAAAGGAAAAGAAATTTAAAAGATTTATTTTAAATTTAGAAAAATAATTTTTAAATCTTTTAATTTGGGACGATTTTTAGAAATAGGATCCACAAAATTTTCTGCAAAATTTGATATTTTCTCGTTAGGAAATTTCCGATTTAATCCCCGTGTATATCTCTCAAATATTGTTTGAACTCTCATAAATCAGACGAGTGCGCTTTAGTGTATAAATTCGAATACGGAATTATTTATTTTTATGACTTCTAGAAAGAAATATTAATATTTCCTAAATATATAACAGTTTGCAATTAAACTTCGCCTGCAGTCCATAATTAAATATTTATTTCAATAGTATAATTGGGTAATGATTTTAAAATCTTTAATCAATACTTTCGCTGCAGGAATTCCATATTCCGGAATCAGATTGGAATAGATCTACACTTGATTATATCTCTCCTCCAGTGCATAAAAAGTTAAGAGAAATAAAGGTTGAAACTGGAATATTCAAAATTATATTTTGAAATCATGTGAGTTTAGTTTGGTCGAGTGCGCTTGTCTGACTCTCTGCAAACACATTAAATGGATCAAAATGCAGTTTAGAGAATCCACTTCAGGGTTTAACAGTGCACACAACGGTGCATTAGTTTTTTAGATCAACCTTTTAACATGTTTGTTTGGGGAAATTTTGTTTACATTTTACAAATGTGAAAAAGAAAAAGGCATTCATTTCTGTTTTAGTGTAAAAGGCGATGTCTTAAAGGGACTGTACGCACTTTAAGATACCTATCATTTAAAGAGTAGCTTGTTCGATTGATTTAAATTACGATTTGGGAGATATCGACATTTTACTTTCTTTAACCCTATCCCTGCTGGGGTACTTAAAAACCAGGATACGCTGGGGGGGGGGGGGTAGTCACCCAATTTGACTAAATCCCATGTTTGATGTCCAAATATCACATATGATACATCATTGGAAAGCTCTTGTGCTATACTTTTAGAATCAGGAAAAAATTAGCAAAAATTGCAAAATCCCGTTGTATAGTAAAAATGTTTGCAAAAAAAATTGTCAAAAAATGATAAAAAAAATATAAAGTTTTGAAAAACCCTTGAACCATGCCATTTCAAATATGCAAAAATATTTGCAAAATTTGAAATAACCTGATGCGTAATTAAGAAAAACGAAAAATGTACAAATTTCAAATTTCATTTGACGGGTTGTTTGCAAATAAATTGCAAAAATTTCTTTGCAAAACTTATGTCATAGGCTTTTTAAAAAATCTGACAGCTGAAAGAGGGTCAAAACAAAGATTAAGTTTGTTACAGGAAAAAGTAGTCATTCGGGCAGTGTGCCTGAGGACTCAGGCAGTTAGTATAAAAGCTTGGTTTTACGCCTAAAGGGATGGATTTGGGTATTTAGGTAAAGTCAGAAAATTTCAACAGCCTCAGACTAATATTTTTTTAGTTAGGTAAAAAAAAACTACAAGGGGGGAGTAAAATTGAACCCCCCCCTCCCACCACCCCAGCAGTAATAGGGTTAAAAGTGTTAAATTTCTTATTTCTTAAAAATAGTCTTTACAGCACAAATCCACCAGAAACATTACAATTGAAAATTATCAATTTTAAGCTTCAAAAATAAGGATATCGTAGTCATCCTTAATCAGACAAAGGTTTAAAGGGTTGTGTATTGATAGCTATTCTATAAACTGGCTATTTAATTAAAACCATAATTCAAATTACGTAAAACCAGGTTTAAAAGTAAAGTTTACTTGAAACTAAAACTGTGGTTAAGCTTTGAACAACTACACTGCACGCAACATGCAATGTTTTGCAAAATTTTAGAATTCCATCACTAGTATAGAACAAAGTTAAAAATTATGCATTTTTCATAATGTTTCTTTTTTAAGTTTGCATATTGTTAGGAAGAGAGGGGGGGGGGGATTACACCAAATTAAATCCTTTTCTGAAGTCTAACAATAATGTGAATATAGTACATGATAAATCTTTGAAAAACTCTATACTCAAAATCTGCTGAATAATTTGTAAACTTACGAAAATCTAAAAATTATTTTTTTAAGCTATAGGACAAACATTATGATTTTTATCCTTTCTCAGCAATAATCATTAACAATATTATATAAAAAATACATGATAACATAAGACTTTTCGCGATCACAGAAATAAGACAAAGGGTTTAGGATAACTAGCGCAGCTTATCTTTTGATCTAAGGGGGACCAGCTGCAGCGTAGGATTCAGAGGAGAAAAGGCGACATTCATAATTCCGCCACAAAACCAATATATTCTCATTATTCTCATGAACTAGAAAACGGAGAAATAAACTTTCAAATTTGTTAAAGTTTAAGAATTGAATTTGTTGGTTCTTGATTGATCTATTAAACTTGTAAACCTACCAGATGGAGAAGGATTCAATTTAAGAAATGCATTCCTCAAATGTTTTTACATTCTTAAAGGGACTAAAAACGTAATTTCAAGTGACCATTCAAGCAAAGATGGCAATGATGCCCAATTTACAGCGAAAAATTGAAAGATTTGTCTGATCAAGTATGAAGAAGAACTTCATTTTTTCTTTGTACAAACTGTTTATTTTGATTTGCATTGTCTCTGCAAAAGTGACTTGCGCATTTCTTTCTTTTAAGAAAGACTGGAGAAATGATCAGAATTAAAACTTTTTGAGTCAAAAAATTGTCCACATTTTTTTCAAGTTTCAAAGGCATCATTATCGGGCATTGCTATCGTTGCATGAAGGGTCACTTAAATAATTTACGCTTTCTCTCAACTTAAACCTTTGAAAACTTTAAGAGTAATTTCAAGTGACCAGAAGATTTCAAAATTGATATTAAAGCTGCTTTTTTTTATTGTTTCTTCAAAAATCTGTTTAAAGGAATTGACTCTTTCCAACAAACTCTGATTTTCTAATCCCTATCTTTGGATTCCAACGTCGTAAACCTTTGAAAATTCAAACTATGACTTTTGTTAGATCAAAAAATATAAGTTGGAAATATCAAAGGTCTACGACATTGGGTTCCAAAGATATTGGGATTAGAAAATCAGATATAAGCACGGGGAGGGGGGGGGGGCGAAGGGTTTAAAGCAAAAATGAGCTTTTTATGTAAATATTCTGAGTACGGGAACAAAGACATGAAAAGAATGAATCGAGGCAAAAGAATTAAGTAATTGCTTGAAAGGAACTGATAATTTGCTTGAAACTTTAACTTTCTTATCCCTCTATCTTTGCAGTCTGATGGTGTAAACATTGATATTTCATATAATCCCTATACTGTATGCCGACCAAGGGTGTAATGCAAGAAAAGTTAATTGCGGTCGTTTATACTCTGCGTACATATTGAAACCAGTTTTCTTTGGGCGGTAAACAAGAATAGATGCATCAGTGTTCGTTTAGTATCCGAGGAGGTTAAAAGCATTAAATTTGATAATTGTGATAATTCACATAATAGTTTCCTATGACCAGAATATTTCATTAATTTTTTTATGTGAAAGATGGATCCCAAGTCAGGCTGTGACATCCGTCTTGTGTTTACATTACCACCCAGAGACAGTACACTGCGGTACAAAAGATGCGTACACTTCTGAAATAACTTTTCTTGCATTACATCCTTGATGCGGACTGCCGAGTCCATTAGCGCCTGATCCAATCAGGGTTCAGTCATGTGTTTGTTGTCTATTCTGAACCAATAGAAATAGTTTGGCGGTAACATCTTTATGAATCCTTCAATCAGCGCAATCAGTAAATGGAAATATTTACTTTTACTGAAATTATAGTTATCTTTTCTAGTGAAATTTAAAAGATTGAAATATCAAATGTCTGAAATATCAGGTTGAAAATCTAAAGGGAAAAGAAAATTAGGGTTTGTTGCGAGTAATTTATTGCTTTGTATCGTTTATATATTTATTCTGTAACAGATTTTTTTGTGTGTTTTTGTTTTGTTTTCCTTATTTCAGGATTCTCATGGATAATTCTCCCACATTTTAGGATTCTCAATTTCAGGATTTTCCCATATGCCTTTTAAGATTTTCCCATGTTTCCGGAATTCTCCTATATTTCAGGATTTTCTGATATTTCAGAACTTTCCCGTATTTCAGGATTTTCCATGTTTCAGAATTCTCCCATATTTTAGAATTTTCCATGTTTCAGAATTCTCCCATACTTCATAAATCTTCGATATTTCATAATTTCCCCATATTTCAGGATTCTCTTGTTACCTGGGGAGTACAGCGGAAGGATACAATAGATTTGTTAACTGTTGGCAATACTACTTTTACTGGAGATAACAGATACTCAGTTCAATTCCAGAACCCTACAGATTGGGTTCTCAGGTACTCAACCACATACTTGGGCAGGGACAGGTTGGGTTCTCAGGTACTCACATACTTGGGCGGGGACAGGTTGGGTTCTCAGGTACTCAACCACATACTTGGGCAGGGACAGTTTGGGTTCTCAGGTACTCAAGCAGGGACAGGTTGGGTTCTCAGGTACTCACATACTTGGGCGGGGACAGGTTGGGTTCTCAGGTACTCAACCACATACTTGGGCAGGGACAGTTTGGGTTCTCAGGTACTCAACCACATACTTGGGCAGGTACAGGTTGGGTTCTCAGGTACTCAACCACATACTTGGGCAGAGACAGGTTGGGTTCTCAGGTACTCAACCACATACTTGGGCAGGGACAGATTGGGTTCTCAGGTACTCAACCACATACTTGGGCAGGGACCTAGGTTGGGTTCTCAGGTACTCAACCACATACTTGAGCAGGGACAGGTTGGGTTCTCAGGTACTCAACCACATACTTGGGCAGGGATAGATTGGGTTCTCAGGTACTCAACCACAAACTTGGGCAGGGGCAGGGCCTGACATTTTGAAATGTTTCAATTTTAATTTTGTCACATTTTTCTAAAGGAATTGAGTTTCTGCCACAAACTGTGATATTCTAATCCCCATATCTTTTTAACCCGATGTCGTAGACCATTGATATTTCAAACTACGAAAGCTGTTACATTAGATAATCTAAGTTTGAAATATCAAATATTTACTCCATCAGATTGTAAAGATATAGGAATTAGAAAATTTGCGTTTGTGGCAAAGACTCAGTTCTTTTGGGTCTGTAAGAAGATATTTGACTGAACGAGGATTGTTGACTTTGAACAATTTTTCAATGCAAAGAGTTTAATACCTGATTCACAACCCTCGAACCCTGATCATGTATAAATTAGATATCAAGGCTAATAATTTTGAAAAATGATTATTTTTAATTATGGTTTCACTATTTAATATGATAAGATAAAGGTTTCAAATATTCCCAACACAAATATGTTAAAATATTTAAATCTCATATTCTCCCATTTTTCAAAAGTAGTAGTTAAGTAAAATTAGTAGCGATCAAAACCAAATTAAATTCTAAAACACCATTCATTTTCGCGAACACTCCCTTTAAAGTTGTTGAGTCCGTTGAATTTGTAATGGCCTCAAGAAAGAGAAACGGCGAACAAACTGTTCAAAACAACAATTCCAATAGATTTACAACTAGAACTATTGTGGCATCAAAACCAGCTTAAAATGATGGAAAATTTACCGAGGAAATCTTTATTTTAACATTGTGTTGTTAAATTTTTATGTTGAATAACCTGAGTTTTGGTGTAATACTTGAACTTAGGAAATTAATTTGATCATGAAATTTCTTAAAAATCTTTTAAACGAAAACAACTTAGAATTTCTGCTTATTCTGGATGGTTGCATGAATGAAGGCCCAGGGAGGGGGGGGGGAGGAAGTAAGCGATGAGAATTTTTTTCTAAGAAAATGGAAAATTTATTGTTTAAGTTTGAAGGAAAAGGAAAATCTAGAAAATATATTAATTAATTATTATCAAACAAATTTACTAATATACCACTGATTTGAGTATTTCTACATCAGAGATTTTTACTTCAAATGTTTATTAAATCAAAACTAGTCATAATACAAATATCTACTTGAAAAAAACAGCTTAACAAAAATAAATTTGAAGGATAAGAAATGTTTATCTAGTTTTCTCTGGCATTTTTTATTTTTTTTTTATCCCTGCCCCCTGAAAAAGTTTTTCTTTAGAGTTCCATTGAAAAGTTTGTTTTGGAAACTCATGTTTAAGGGTTTCTACATACTCGACATAGTTTAAAGAAAATACTCATCACTTAGCACATAATGTAGGAAATATATAGATTCTATCCTGATGATGTCTAAACTTTTGTATTGCTTGATTAACTCCTTGCAGGGACTGTAATTTTAAGTGACTCTCATGCGAAGATGGCAATGCCCGATTTACAACGATCAAAAATGTTATAGCTATATTTTCTGGCTCGAAAAATTTATTTCCCTGCAGACTTTCTAAATTGTTTCTTTCAAGCAAGAAATATGCAAGTCACTTTCGAAAAGAACCCGCAAATGAAAATTAACAGTTTTGAGAAAACAAAAAATTAATATCTAATTCGTACTTGAGCAGACAATACTTAAAGGAACCGTTGTAAATCGGACAGGCCTCCAAAAAAAAAATGAAATAAAAAAGAAATTAAGTTAAAGACACCCGATCTTGTACGTTTAGGTATATAATTTGTTTTCCTATGAAGTACATTTTTTTTGATTGTCAAAAAGCATTTTTTTCTATAAAAATGGAACATTTTTTTAAAAATTTTAAATGAGGTTCCGAAATAAAATTTTTTAGATGGATTTAACAACTTAAGATGTCTAAGATTGACATTAAACCGATTAAGCAATCTTAACATTTTCAATTTCAGAAATGTCAAATTCTAAAATTATTGCATTTTAAACCAAAAACTGTTTTAATCCAATGAAACTATAATCTTTAATAATTTTTTATTTTAATTACCAATCTTTTAATACAATAATAGTGTAAAAGACTGTTGTGTTTGCTTGAGAACAGGAATACGACTGGGCCAATTGACATACATTTCATTTGGCGTACCGACCCTCTTTGTCTTATCTCGTCTGTATGTGTACTGTACATACAGCTTTGTCTTATCTCGTCTGTATGTGTACTGTACAGCTTTGTCTTATATGTCTGTATGTGTACTGTACAGCTTTGTCTTATCTCGTCTGTATGTGTACTGTACAGCTTTGTCTTATCTCGTCTGTATGTGTACTGTACAGCTTTGTCTTATATTGTCTGTATGTGTACTGTACAGCTTTGTCTTATCTCGTCTGTATGTGTACTGTACAGCTTTGTCTTAAATTGTCTGTATGTGTACTTTACAGCTTTGTCTTAAATTGTCTGTATGTGTACTGTACAGCTTTGTCTTATATCGTCTGTATGTGTACTGTACAGCTTTGTCTTATCTCGTCTGTATGTGTACTGTACAGCTTTGTCTTATATCGTCTGTATGTGTACTGTACAGCTTTGTCTTATCTCGTCAGTATGTGTAATGTACAGCTTTGCCGTATATCGTCTGTATGTGTACTGTACAGCTTTGTCTTATATTGTCTGTATGTGTACTGTCCCGCTTTGCCTTATATTGTCTGTATGTGTACTGTACAGCTTTGTCTTATATTGTCTGTATGTGTACTGTCCCGCTTTGCCTTATATTGTCTGAATCTGTACTGTCCCGCTTTGCCGTATATTGTATGTAAGTGTACTGTACAGCTTGCTCCAGCTGATTCAAAGTCTGTCCGGTTCTTCAAATTAATGAACCGGAATTTCCAGTTTCCAGAGAGTTTCCACAAAAATTTTCCGATCGTAAAAATGAATAATTTTTAGGGTCACCATTTGCAGGACTTGTAGGAAACTAATCAGAATTTTTCTTTTACACGTTAAATAATACGGAATTATATTCTCTTTACTCTATAACTGGATTTGTGAAAAAAATGCCAATATGAAATATAATCATGATATCCATTTATAAAACCATGGTGTCATTAGCTTGAGAACCCAGCTTTGGCTAGTAGAATTCGAGGCAAATCGGTCAGGGGGTGAATGAAAACAAACACCCAAACAGAGATTAATACTTTGTATTAAACGTACATAGATGTTACATAGATGTTACATAGATGTTACTTAGATGTTACATAGATGTTACATAGATGTTACTTAGATGTTACATAGATGTTTATGCCTTTATTCAAATTTCTGATATTGTTCTTTCTGACTCAATATTTAAATATAAACATTGCAGCTTTTTCTAAACACAATATGCGCTTTTTTGCATAAATACAGAATTATTTTTGCATTTAGATGGATACATAAAATTATTACATTTTGCACTCTGCAGTAATATAAATTTCACAGGAAGTCCTAAACACATGAACTTTTTATCAAAACAACTTCAGAAAGAAAGTGCTAAATAAAATTGGTATGAAATTACATTTTGGGGTAAATGATGTTCATTTGCTTAAAACATCCTTCATCGTCTTATTTGACATAGGATATCGAAGATTTTACACAAATGTATTAATTAATTAACTAATGTTATAATATATTCAGTAGAAGCTAGGGAACCCAGCTTTTCCTGGAAACTGAACTTTCTCTATAATATTATAATTTATATAATTTATATTAGAATTTTCTTGTGGTTTTGCCGAATTATTACATCAAAAGTGTTAAAAGCATTCATCTCTTATGATTTAACATGCAAACAAACAAACAGACACCCAAAAAGATATTACTACCTACTTTATATCATATTCATTCATATTATTATATTTATATTATATTATTCTAAATATATATATACGTAAATTATATGGATAATATATAATATATATGTATATTATATGTATGTATGTAACAACCTCAGATAGACTCCGGCTAAACTTTACGTACAAAAAATGCACAACTGACTCTATACTCTCTTCCTGTCCACAATAAGACAAGGTTTGCGATGAACTAAATGTTTATTTTAAAGAATGATAATACTGCTCGTACCGACGTAGCGGTCAGCGCATACAAATACAAAATATATATATTTACTAAGTTAGGGTCAAATGCGATAAATGTATATTTTTTATTACATATATATAACGAATTACAAAACTTTTGAGGGGGGGGGGGGTTGTTGGCTATGAAACTACCAAGAATTATAAAAAGTAATACAAAACCTTAATATAATTTTGTCCTTCAGGATTGAGAATGTTGAGTCCCGAGATGCTGGCAAGTTTATCTGTACCCTGCAGACCTATCCTAAACAGACCCTAATAGTGTTTCTACAAGTCGACGGTGAGATTTCGTTAAATATCTTAATTAACCAGTTTTTAATCTTGATCTTTAAAATTTTTTACTTCACTTGACTTCAAATTTAAAAAAATATTCGCATATCTTACAAAGGAATTATGTTTACTGTATTTCTAATATCATCTAAGACAGAACACAACGTGCTTTAGCAGTACATGCTTATTAAATAGATTTACGCTCCGAAGCCACATAGATTCAGCCTGCTTATAAACAGTCTCATCAATTTTTAAGACAAGGTTGATTTTGAAGTGTCGCAACGCCCTAAGCTTAGATTTTACCGCTCTAACTCACTTATGCTTTTCTGTAGCCCTTTATGTGTACATTTTAGCACTGTAAAGCACTTGTTGTTAGCTTTGGTTTTTTAGAAGTAATTGGCAAAATTCTCAACAATTTAAGCTTGAGAGTGTGAGACCATTAAATCGCAGTGAAGCAATGTGCGCAAAAATATCGTATTCCAAGGCACAAAAAATATTTTCCGCTTATACTTTATACATTGTATTTTAACCGAGTTTATCAAAATAACTTTTATTCTTTAATCTAGCAAATTAGATTTTGTCTTCTTCTCTTTTAAAGAGACATTTTTATGTAATGTTAAAAACTGTTTTAAAGGATATTTGTATTTAACTTTTAAAAAAAAAACTTTTTTTTGTTTTGTACAAAAGGCTACACACACTTTTTGTTCTTGTCCAATAAATATTAAATGTTTAAAAAAAATTTTTTGTGTGCATAAAAAAGATGAATTGCAAGTTGCAAGTTTTCTGTCTGTGCCTCAGGTGAAGGTTCAGAAATCTTTAAAATCTTAGAATTATTGCAGACATGAACCATTAGAAGTTTAGAACCCTAATTAAGCTTGACATTCCTACAAATTTGTGTTAAAGTGTGTGTAAATTTGTTCTTGTTTCTTGATTTTCTGATTTACTTTAGCTAGATGCATCAACCTTACCATCTGGACTAGATAGGGTAGACATGTAGATGGATAGAAAGATATATAGATAGATAGATATGTTATAAATACAGTTTGAACACACCTATATAAATTGCGTTGTACATTGTTCGTCAATCTAACTACGCTAATCCTCAAATACGCAAAACTTGTAATGCAGCTACGTATTGTGATTAGCTTAACTACAATGATATATATCTGCACACATATTGTAAATACGTATAAGGACTTAACTGATGTAACATATATTTGTAAATACACATTAGTTGGTAGGGACTCCGCTTTGATTGCAGTGATAGAAGTAATTTGGTCCTCGTTAAAACATAAGAGCTGAGCTTGCATCTGTATTGACATTCAGAGCTGATTAGATCGTGCCCATTGTTTGGCATTGATCGCTTAAGAACTTGTTTTATAGCTACACTTGTGTCCGTATTGACATTCAGAGCCGATAAGGTCGTGCCCATTGGTTTGGCATTCATTGCTTAAGAGCGCTTGTTAGATATCAATCCTGTGTCCGTATTGATATTCAAAGCCGATAAGGTTGTGCCCATTGGTTTGGCATTCATTGCTTAAGAGGGTTTGTTTTATATTAATCCTGTGTCCGTATTGACATTCAGAGCCGATAAGACTGTGCCCATTGGTTTGGCATTGATCGCTTCAGAGCGCTTGTTTGATAGCTATGCTGTGTCCGTATTAACATTCAGAGCCAATAAAAGATAGATAGAATATATAGATAGATATATAGATAGATAGATAGATAGATAGATAGATAGATAGATAGATAGATAGATAGATAGATAGTTAGATAGATAGAATATATAGATAGATAGAATATATAGATAGATAGATAGATAGATAGATAGATAGATAGATAGATAGATAGATAGATAGTAAAGTTATTTAAAGGTATTTTGAACTGGGTTGGATAGTTTGGCAAAAACAAATCATAAAGTTTTTCTTTTCAATAAATGTTTTATTTTCGTATCAAATTCAAACAATAAAAATATTTCAAAAGTTTAAAATACCTGTATCGGGTCTGGAGGAAAGGGCAGAGATGGAAACAAAAAAACAAGTTTGAAACGAAATATTTTTAATAATATTTAGTATTTTTGTTCGGCGAATATTTTCTTACTTTCTGTTTACTTTTCCATTTCCTGAGGAGCGTGTTGCTTATTTAGCGAGACCCCTACTGNCCACCCATCACCCCCCTCATCTCAAACAGAAGGGGACCTCTGAAAAAATATGTGTATTTATAACATTTGCAAACTTTACTGTTTTACTTCTGCATTATCTAAAATCAACTCATTTACATATAACACTTTCCTTGTCTGAGTGTCTGTCCGTTTGTATCTAATTAATGTCAAAACGGCAGAACCAGTCGGGCAAAAATCACATGTCTACAGGAAGGTCTATTGATCATCAAAATTGTCAATAATCATTATTTTTGAAAATGTGCCAATTTGGATAGAAAATTTCGCCAAAGAGAATAAATTACGGGAAGCCGTAGTACATTTGAATTTCCGAGCTGGGTCTACCTTTTCGGTCCCAGTTTGTACCTAGCTCTATGGACAGGACTAGCCGGTGCAACAAGGTTGACGCGATCAGACTTTATGCTTCATATAGGATGAATTTACTTTTACTAAAGGGGCAGAGTTGCATGAATTACAAATGGTCAGCACCCGTTTAAAATTCACATTGTTAATAGGAAAGGGGGCACGAAGCACCCTAAAAACCTTGTCTTATAAATCCACAGTATTCTATCTTAAACCTCTCTCTTTTAAAAAACTTTTTTTGACCATCTGGAGACTGCAGAAGTTAAAGTTTTCCAGGGAGGTTGTTTTGTTTCATCCGAAGTTAGCAAACTTTTTATACTTCTTCAATTTAGCAGATGCTAAAGGGACAAAGGTCTCGTTTTTCCAGTTTATGTCCGCAACAAAAGATGAAAGTTTTCAAATGATCATTCTTTAAAAAAAAAACAAGCACTTTTCTTGTAAACACTACTCCATTGCAAACTTTTTATTGATAATTATATTTATATGGTTTTGTCTTTGGCTCCTCAATTTTCTTGTTGGACAACTATGGATAGAGTTCAATTTTTTCTTTGATTTGTTTTTGGGTTTCAAAACAAAGCTTTCCAAGGATTTGAAAAATGTTGGATTTTTATCAGCTATACAGAAACAACTTTGTTTCAGTAAAATCTTGAATCAATATTTTTTTCAAATCAGCATTTGCTTGAAAAAATTAGAAAAGTGTTAAAATGTGTAAAGCAGAAAGCAGTTTTAAAATGACACAAACTCTAATTGTCTAATACCCGTTGAAGGTGTTAACTTTTGATATTTCAAAATTTGATTATTTAAGAAATTAAATGTTTACGACAGTTGGTTGCAAATATACACGGATTGGAAAATTAGAGCTATAGCCAGTAATCCGTTCCTTGGATTAAAAGGTTCTAAACTGTTCCTAAATGTGTTTATGAAATTCAAATGGAACATTAAAGCTACACAACTGTTCCAGGTCCTGTTATAGAGATAAGGAACTCTAGTGAAGGGTTTGTGTATAGTGCAGGTTCACATATAAACCTGGATTGTATTTATAGAAACAGGTAATAATAATTCTTTCAAGTATACAACAAAAATTATATTAAATTACACTTTGAAAAACTTTAAATTGAATAAAACTTTAAAAGAATTACTTTAATAATCTTTTCTAAGAAATCTTCATTTTACATTTTATCAAATTTCATCGTGTCTGGAAAGCTTCATAAAAGATAGTACACGAACGTACGTATACGTAAGTCAATAAAATCTGATCTAGAATATAGTTTGTAATTTTGGAAAGGATCATTCAAGTAAGATTTTGTCGTTTGATCCTTTGATTTAGTGTAAACATATGTCGAATATCCGGATATCTCTCCGTTTGACCTCAACTAACTAATATTGTGAAAAAATATTTTTATATACAGTTAAACCCTAAATATATACATCGAAAGAATTCATCAAATGTCGTATTCTTCACTTTCTAATAATGGAATGTTGCATATATATAGTTTTTTAATTAATCAGTTTTTCTTTGAATTTCAATCAAAATAAAATGTTCAGGACTAAAGATGAGAGGAACGATAATCGAACCCCCCACCCTCTGCTCCCAATACCGTTGTCCACCCAGCTACCCAGCTCAGCTGTTCGCTGGACTCTTAACAATAAACCTTTCAGTCTGAGAAACAGGAAAAGGTAATTGCACTGCATAGGTCAATTCCGACTTATGTTCATATTATTGGATAAACTTTAAAGAAACTAATCACTACCGTCCTCAATTCTAATGCCTTTGCAACCTGATGTCGTCAACCTTTAACGTTTTAAACTATGAATTCTGCTATGAATTCTTTTTGTATTTGAAGTTTAAAATATGAAATAAGGCTGTAAAGATAAAGGGATAACAACATTTGGTTAGAGGCGAGTAATCAGTTCTGTTTAGAGTTTATTCACATCCTTTTCAATTAAAAAAAGTCGAAATTGATCTTTATTTTAGGAAAATTGTTTTTTTCTCTTTCTATAGGTTTTCCTCAATTTATACCTTCTTAGTTTTTGCGCAAAAAAAAGCTAAGAATTTTATTTAAATACTTTACTTTAAAAACTTTATATTATAACGATTTTCTTTTGAACCAGCATTGACAATTGTTCAAAAATTGGCTAGAATAATTTCTAATGTAATGTATGAAAATAAATGAAGAAGGTTTGTAGGTATAATAGTACGGTTGACTATTATAAATTACACCTCCAATATTCATTAATATGGATGTATATTATAACATTATTAAAACCATTATTTTTGAATTAGGGGGGAAATAATAATTATTTTGTTGCGTTTGAGGAAAATTAACTTCAACAAAATACACCAGCAGCCGATTTCGAGATATTTTCTGTCACATTTTCATCTCAAATTAACGAAATTCGTTCAATGTAAAATCTTTTTCTCACAAATACAAAATCAAACAAAAAAGTATAGAGTAGTAAAATGAAAAATTTTTATTATATCGGTAAAAATTGGTTCTAATGATAAGTCTTTCTTGACTTTTTCCCAGGACCTCTAATTTACCGTGCCCAGGGTGTCATACAAAAAATGGAGTTTTTTTATAATTACAATCTGGTAATGTATTGTGGTATTCATTTGTGAGCCTTACTGTACAAGTTTGCTGCTTAAAACAATCATAAAATACCCATTGCATTTTTTGAAAAAATATTAGTTTGAAAGAGAGGCGAGAAGCGCGCGCGATCCTACAGTGAAACCCTTAATAACGAATGCATAAAAGAATTCATCAAATGTCGTATTCTTCACTTTCTGATAATGGAATGTTGCAGATATTTAGTTTTTTAATTAAATGATTATATGGAACTCTCTAAAACTGTTCCCGCAAATTCATGGATATTTATTTATTTTCGCAAATACTGAAATTTACGTAATATAGTATAAAACTCATTGAAAAATTTTAAGACGACATTTGATAAATTCTTCCGATGTATTCGTTATTAAGGGTTTCACTGTAGTATTTTAAAGTTTATCTTATCTATTATCGCTCAACCTAATCCAACTTTTAAAAACGAGAAAAATGTTCCAAAAGTTTTTTAAAAACATGAAAGATCTTGTAAAGTTTGCTGAAGAGTAAAGAATCCTGAGTCAAAGTAATCTAATTTTCAAGTTTTTGACGTTATTAAATATTAACATACTTATCTTCTTACACAACAGCTGGTGTTGATTAACTTTAAAAGATGAAGGATCAAAAAGGGTAGAAACGAAACAAGTTTTTGGTAAAATTAGTTTTTCTTGTTTAAACTTGGTTTAGGGATAAATGATCAGCTCGAGGAAACTATTTCTTTTAAAAGTAAAATGTGTCGAATCTGATTTAATGTACAACTTCTTTAAATATAAACTACAGGGTGTTCTACGAAACATGACAGTTGGTGAATAGTTTAATTGTCTTCTTCCATAATTTGATAAGTTGTTTAATACTTATAACATTTATTATATGACAGTAATATTAAAGAAAAATTGATTGCACAGTAAAATATAAAAATGAGTTAAACATTTTTTAAAGAAATAAACTGCAAAAAGTCTTTATGATCTAATACAGCATGTGGAAGAAGACATTCAAAACTATTCACCAACTGTTATTTTTCGTGGGACACCCTGAAGCTTATGAATAATATTGTAAATTCCTAAAAAATATTTTGTATGTTTTATCTTTTACTTTACAGGTTGAACATTTCCTAATAATTTAATATGTAATATACTTTTGTCCTTGAACATGCAGGGTGTGTCATAAAACTTAAATATGTAAATATATCCTGTAATGTATGTAATGTATGTACTTTAAATCCTAAAACTCTTTTTCATGTACAGTGGTCGGCAATTATATCAATACAAGGAAGACAACTGTTTATTGATAATGCTTTGATACAAGCAATTTTCAAATTGAAAGTTTACAAATTAACAGCTTCCCTAAGCTTTGTTTAAATGTTCTGCAGTTTGAAAGCTTGATTAGAATTAAAATTGAAAAAGAAAGTCGTCTTCATTGTATTATTATATACGACGACGACTGTACTTTGCAGGGTGAAGAATGAATGGACAGGAGACGAAGTACACAGTTATCTCACAATCAAGAGTTCAATCAAGGAACAATATCAAAATACAAAAAAATCAATAAAAATCTGAGTTTGAGGCAGATATTTTTGGCTGAAAAAAAACATATAACGTAAGGAAGGGGAAATGATTATTAATGTGGCCTAATCTCTATATCTTTGCAACTAATTATGTTGTAAACCTTAGAATTAGATATATCAAAATTTAACTATGAAAAAAAACTTGTTTATTTTCAAAGATTTATATATTACACCAAGTTGCAAAGATATTAGAAGTAGAAATTTAGAGTTTGAGAAGACTTATCTCATTTTTAACTGTAACCTATCCCTATCCTGTTTGGGCTATTTTAGTCTAATTTAGTGTTTACAAAAAGTTCAGAGAGAATATTTATTTTTTACATTTTACAAATATTAACATGCGATCCAGTTTTTTACAACCATTTTTAAGGGCTTTACAAAAATATAAATTTTAGATCTGTAGCTTAATTAATCAAAAGACTTATTTTGCTTTCCTTTAAACAATAACCAGCTGTTTGACCGTTCTCAACCCTACCTTAAGCATAAAAATATTTGCACAATATTGTTTAAAACTATAAAGATGAAAAAGTTAATAAGTTTGACCTTTCAAGTTCTAGTTTAGATTTTGATTATGCATTTACTAAATAAAAAATAATAAGAATATTATTGAAATGAATTTTGAAAAGATTTAATAATCTTAATAACTTATTCTTAAAGACAATAGAGTACTGAAAAGCAAAATTACACAAAGGAATTGAGTCTTTGCCACAAACTCTGATTTTCTAAACACTATATCTTTGGAACCAAATGTTGCATACCTTGGATATTTCAAACTATGTATTCTGTTAGATCAAACCATCTGAGTTTGAAATATCAAAGGTTTACAACATCAAGTTCTAAAGATATTGAGGTCTAAATATTTAATTTTGTTCCAAAGACTCAATTCCTTTCACGAAATTTTTTGAATAACTCTTGTTCAAAGTTATCATTACAATTTTAATTAAAACAAATTTTAAATGAAAAAAAATATTTTTATTGTTTGTGTAAAGGAGGATAGCGGTAACTACACCTGTACTCTACCCCACACTAATATATCCAGTACTGTACAGATACAAATACTTAAAGGTAAACAAACATATGTACACTGTACACTGTACACCAATATATCCAGTAAAGTACAGATACAAATACTTAAAGGTAAACAAACATCGATACACTGCAGTACAGTTTACACTAATATAATTGTACTGTACAAAAACAAATACTTAAAGGTAAACAAACATATGTACACTGTACACTGTACACCAATATATATCCAGTACAGTATATATTCAAATACTTAAAGGTAAACAAGCATATGTACACTGTACACTGTACAGTGTACACCAATATATCCAGTACTGTACACATACAAATACTTAAAGGTAAACAAACATCTTACACTGTACACTGTACAAAGTGCACTGTACACCAATATATCCAGTACAGTACAGATAAATACTTAAAGATAAACAAACATATGTACAGTGTACACTTATACTGTACACCAATATATCCAGTACAGTACAGATACAAATACTTTTCTTTTTCCGTCCTTGAACAAAAATTCCGATACTTTCCGAGCTTAAATTTAATTTCGTCTTAACTTTAAGAATTATTTCAATACATCGAAAATATTTTATTCGATAACAATGGCGTCCTGGTCACTCCTGTATGCCTTGTCCATTAGCGCCTGATCCAATCAGGGTTCAGTCAATTGTTTGTTGTCTATTCTGAACCAATAAAAATAGTATGGCGGTAACATCTATCTTTCTATCGATCTCATTATCCATTCAGAGTTATGAATCCTTTAATTAGCGTTATCAATAAATGGAAATATTTACTTCTACTGAAACAATGGCGTCCTTGTCAAAATCCTGCAGTAAAACCATAAGAAGATGATATATAATTAAAGTTTAAAAAACTGTATAATATTCCGAGTGCAGGGCAGTATTGCTTGTTTTAACTCTAAAATAAGTTAAGTACGTGTTGACTAATTTCAGGGTTAATTTCTACTTAACTCGAAATCACAAATATGTTAAGGTTTTTTGATCCGTCAGGGAAATGTTTAATGGCATTTTTTTAAAGCAATATCAAGTATAAATAATTTTGGAATCGATTTAATGCTATTGTGAATAGATAGCAACTTAATACGGCCCTTGTTATTTTTAGCGAACACTCCCTTTAAATCTTTGATTTAAACTAGAGATTTTTTTTTTACATTTCCGACCATTTAATTTTATTGAAAGTTCTCTTTAAGATTTTTAGATTTTCCTTTAAAAATGATGATTTGTTTTATAAAATATGCATGGTCTTTAATCAGTTCATAAAAGACATTTCTCAGAAAAATATATCTTTAGATAAATTATTTAATGTTTTCAGGGGAGCATTCTGAGGCCGTGCTAACAGAATCCCAGACCAGCAATGCCGCAGATTGTTCTCAAAATATAATTTTTCTTCTAGTCGCCATTTTTTACAATTCATAAACATAATTTTATTTCTGATATTTTATAGTTAAAAGTTTAAAAACATATAAAATAATACAAATGATAATAAATGATATTTAAAGAAAAAAATTGAATATTAGAGATATTTGAAATTTAAATGACTTTTTGGGTTCAAGAATTAACTAGGTACTTGTAATCCGATGCCATGGACCTTTTAAACTATTAATTTTGTTGGATCAATTAAGTCTAAGTTTACACCAACCATCAGGTTGCAAAGATATAGAGAATAGGAATTTTGAATTTGTGGCATAGACTCAATTCCTTTGACTATCAGATCTTAAAGCGATATTCATATTTTGAATTATCTAAGGTCTACTACGATGCAAAGATCTAGGGTGCAAAGATCTAGGATTAAAAATCATAGTTTGAGGCAATTGTTTAATATATAACCTTGAATTGAAATGTAGAATTTACAGAAAATGTTATAGTAAAAAACCGACCAACTGATTTTTTTATTAATTGTGGTGAAGAGACACGTTAACTTTTTTAAGCAAGGATATTATAAAAATAATATTGTTAAAATCTGTTTTTTAATTCTTTAATTGACCATATTGTAATGTAAAATAAGACCCTTTTGTTTTGTAGTAAACACTTTAAATACAACATCGCTTGTAGGATTTGAACAATATTTTCCTTGTAATGTAAAATTAAAAATAAATAATCTAAATATATATTTTCAAAAAAAACATTTTTCTTGTTTATCTAACATATTTAATTGATATATATTTGTTGACAGCATTTAAGTTTAAAAACGGCAACAAGCAAAGTTTGAATTGTTTCAAATTGTTCTTGAAAAAGTTTGAATGAGATCTGGATGGTGAAGGATAAGCTTGAATTATAGAAAAATGCATTTTTTCATCAACAAAGTTGTTAATTTTTCCTGGAAAATACTATCCAATCTAATTGAACTGTTAACTGGGTCTCAGGACATTCGGATTTAGTAATGATTAACACATGATAATTAGAAGACGACTTAAATCTTTCTTGGTGGAAGGGGGGGGGAGGAGACATACCTCCTATGTTTTTTATCCATTTATATTTGTAGATATTTTGCTTGACTGGCCGGGTGTCCGTTTGTTTGGAACCAGTAAACATCAAAACTATTTAACCGATCGGTTCCAATTCCATAGAGCCATGTAACAGCTTGCACTACATAGCTTAAACTTACTTACTCTCCAACAATATAATTGATATAACATGTTTTTAATGCACTGAAAAGGCAGACCACAATTAGGAAATCCTAGGACAAGAATGTTTTATGCAAGACAATGTCAGCATTTGATAGAAATTTAAAAATTGATGTTAAACTCTTGAATAGTCCCAGAAAATAAAAGTGTTATGATGTTTGTACGTTTTTGCATTTAAAAGTATTAAATTTGAACCCCAGCTGCCCAGCAAATACGTTTCTAAAACTCTTTTCTATTCAAATCATTTGTTTCTCATATAAACACAGTCAAACTATCGGAACTATGGTTATGTTCTCAATGATCTACTCATTGCGAGTTTTCGCGAAAAATAGGCTTATTCTGAATTGATTCGATTTTGATCGCTACTAATTTTACTTCTCTCTGTTGCGTATATATTTAGGTTTTGGTGGAATAATGCAGTTCCGTGTGCTCTACTCTTTTGAGGGAAAAGTCTTTTTTATATAGAAGTAACATTTGTAGCGATCAGACCTGAATTTAATTCGGTATTAGCCTTTTACCCCTTTCATTTTTCGCGAAAACTCCCTTTAAGTCTGGTTTATGGTGGAAACTATGTTCTTGAACCACATCTAATCACTTCATTTCCTAGACCTGCTCTGCAGGGTACTCCGTTAGACATTGGACAATATGGTCAATTAAAAAAATGTTACTCGTGCAAAAATAACAATCTTTTATGAAAATTATTTTTGTTCTTCCCAAAATTCTAATTTCTTTGTTAAACTAAAAATTAATTAAGATTTTTGGGGTCGCTGGAATTTAATAGATTGTCAATTTAAAAAAATTATTTTTACACAAAAAAATATTTTAAAATTATTTTCGGTTTGAAAACCCCTGTTAATGTTTATTGTGAGTTTCTTTATATTTATTGACCGTTATATTTACAGATTTAATCTTTAATCGTTTTCTTCCTTATAGTGCTTACAGAGAAAGAAAAGTAGTATTTTACAGAGTTAACCAAAAAGAATGAAAATTTAATGACGATCTGCAATTTTTATATTCTGATGAACTTTAGGTGTGTGGTTTTGTCCTTCTTGAGAAAGAAAAGTTATATATGTATGATAAAAGAATTAAGTCTTTCGACGAACTAAAAATTTCTAAAGTTATATATGTATGATAAAAGAATTAAGTCTTTCGACGAACTAAAAATTTCTAATCCTTATTTCTTCGTAACTGGATGTTGTAAACATTTGATATTTTAAACTTTGAACTTATTCGATTTAAGAGCATTCAAAGGTTGAATTATCTAAGGTCTAATATATGAATACATTGGTTTGCAAAGATGTCGGATTAGAAGATCAGAGTTTTAGTTAAGACTTAATTCCTTTATCTAAATCTTTAAGGCTAACTAATTATTTATATATTTAGATAAAAATGCTGCGGAGGATTTCAAAACTTTTTATAAGGACATCGGAGAAAGTAAAAACATTTTTATTTTTATTTGAAAATTTGGGTTAAAGTTTTGGGTATAAGAGAGAAAAAAAGTGGGAAGCAAAAAGAGAGAGAAAAAACAAAGACTAATTAATTCTGTGCAGGATCGTCTCTGAAGTTTCATATTTTGTGAGTAACCTTGTATCGATTCCGGAGTAGTTTTGTTAGTTCTATTAAGCCTGCAAAAAGTTAACAAAATTAATCTTATCAAAAAAATATTATTGTTTTAAGAAAGTTTAAAGAAAGTTAGTCATCCTTGAGTTCAATGTGTAAACAAAAATCGATAAGAATTTTGCCAATTAATTTTTAAAAACTCTAAAAGCAAGTCCGTATAATTCTACAATATTCATGTCTAGGGCTTTTTTTCCTTTACAAACTAAATGCAAATCCTATGTTTCAGAGACACTAATAGATGGATAGATAAATAGTTAAGCTGAAATTTGAAGTTTAAAATGAAAAAAATGATAAATTTTGATTTTATTCTGATATTTAATTTTGTACTCGCGAAAATGTCAGCTCTAATTAAATAACTGAAATTTAAAATGAAATGAAAAACCATAGCTAAATTCAATCTTTAAAATAGTTTTCATGGAAGCAGCACTTATACACAAATGTCAATTTATTTGAATGCACAACTATGACTAAAGACGTCATAGACAGGTGTATGCATGATACCACTATTTAGAGAAATTGAGTTTTTGCCACAAACTCTGATATTTTAATCCCTATATCTTTGCAACCCATTGTTGTAGACCTTAAATATTACAGACTATGATTACAAGCAATTGAAATATCAAAGGTTTAAACCATATAGTTGCAAATATTTAGAATAAAGAATATTTGAGTTTGTTGCAAAGACTAAATTCCTTCCTGATTTAAATCTGTTATAAAAAGTACAATCTTTACAAATTGGAGTTCGTTCATTTCAGATAAATTAATAAAGAACAGTTTTAATAAAGTTTACAATATAAAATGATATTATAAAACAATTCAAAATTCGATTTTTACAATTATTTTTACTTTTATACCTGCACTAATGTCATGCTTTATTAGTGTTTTACTGAGAATTATATTATAAATTGAAACAATAATTTAATTAAGGTAATGATTTCCATGATTACGTAGTTATACACAAATTTCTAAAAGCTCTGAAAAAAAATTCTGCTTGCATAAACATTTTGATCTTAAGTTATACATAGGTCTGATATTATAGGCGTATACAGAGTGTAAAACATTTCAGGAAAATAAATAAATAATTCATTGATTTCTGTAATTCATTATGTAAGATTTTATTTTTGGAAAAATTGATAACGTTAAAAATATCATTACATACACTAATTAAGTGCTTAATGGAAACTTGGTAATTGATTGGGGTAAACATTTTATAAAAAGAGATTTTTTTAACCTTTCAGAGGAAATTAGAAGCGCATTTTCTAATCCTTTTTTAGAAACTATAATTGTTTTATTCCCTTATACCTATTAAAGGGCTGTAATAACGTAATTTCAAATCTATATATAAATTTGGCATGTCTGTTTGTTTGTCTGTTGTGATGTTTGTATCCAATAAACGTCAAAACGGCTGAACCGATTGGGCCCAAATTTTTTGTGGGACATCACGTGACCACAGGGAAGGTTTATGAATGATAAAATTTTTTAAAAAATTTGTTTTAAAAGTTTTCAATTTTGTAAAAAAATTTTAATTCTTGAAAATCCACGAATTTTTTTTTTTAAATCCGCAAAATTTTTTTCTTCTTTGTTTTTAAATGTAAACAAAAAGAACATGTTCACAAATTAAATAGTAGATGGGCGCGAAGCGCCCTAATAGCCTAGTAATCCTAAATTTAAAAAGTAAGATACCGTTAACTACCTGCTTGAGTAACACAGCTAAAGATATTGTCATTTTTCTATATTGAAAAATGTTAATTGAGATATATTCCTTTATTGTCTCTCAACATATGTCCGCAATAGTTCGCAGCATTTAAAAGTTTTTGAACAGAAATTTTCTCTTTATCGAGAAGGTTCAAGTCTTTTTAGATTTAATTTTGTCTTGAGCTTTAGTTTCTTAGAATTGTTTCATAAAATTATTTATACAGACACAACTATTAAAATTAATTAATTTTAGCGAGAATAAAAAGTAAATATAATTAATCTTACGGAAGACAAAGGTTTAAAGGATACTACTGTGAATCAGGCATGCTATTCTTTAAACTCGATTACCAATATGTAATGGAATACAGCAGTTATAATTTGTGTAACCGGAGATGGAATTTAAAGAATTTGAGCCGCGGTTTAAACCTGCCAAAACCCGGTTTAAATTAAGCGCCAGCTGAAATCTTGAAACATTTGATACAATTTTAAGTGGAACCAATCAAATTTAAACCGCGGCTTAAATTTAAGCCGCCGCTCAAATTCTTTAAATTCGGCCACTGAGCTGAAAACTTTAGAATGTGTATCCTTAATCCCGATTACTGAATCTGAGTATCAGAGTATAAACATACTTTTGATTTTCTTCTTAAACCGTCCTTTCTTGGATATAGTAGAGAAAAATCAAAATTAATTTTTTTAAATTATAGAGTCCCTCCCGTTTTTCTTTATATATTTATCTTAAATTACGTGCAAAATTTCAAATTTAACGACTCTGTTTGGTTGAATTTAATACACTTTTCACAATACAAGTACAAGATTAGGTTAGTCTCGATATTAAGATAAAGGACCAAGAATTAATCTTAATATCCACCATTCAAAAGTTTTCAGCTCTGACTTTATATGACAAGTTTATCTGAACGATGTGTGTATACTTTATATAGGATGATTTCGCTTGTTCCGCTTAAATGAAACCAAAAGAATAACCATTTCTAATAAAACTTTCCGGTTCAAAATATTAAATTATTTGTCACGAAACAAAATAAAAAATAGCACCCCCAACAATTAAGCTTTCAGTGCGTTACTGCTGTAATTAGCAGTACTCTGACCGAAATAAATGTGGGATTTTGCGGAGACTCAAGGAGAATTGAATACAATGAATGTATTGTATATTTAAATACATTTTGTGTCTAATACACTCATTGCATATTTGAATACATTTTGTGTCTAATACATAATATATCCTCATAACTGATTCTCCTTCACCCTTTTTTACAATTAATATTTCACTAATTACAGAGCAAAGGAAGCCCATAAATACCAAGAAGGTATGTGCTGTAAAGAACTGTATTATAATGATAATACTGGAAACCCTATGCGTATTTCAAGACAAACATATCGATTGCTTTCTCCTACGAATATAAAAATAAAACAATAGAATTGTGGTTATTACGAAATATCTAATTCGTCAGAATATTCAATGTTTTATTATTAATAGGTTAGCAAACAGGTTCTGTGTGTTTAGTAATAATTAAATAAAAAAGGACAGTTTTATATGAAAAAATACTTTTAACTGGGCCAGTCAGTAGTCACTATCATAAAAGTTAAAAAAGGGAGTAACTGGCCGGCAATGATTTTGATCGAAAAAAGCAAAGGAACTGATTTCTTTCCAAAAACTGTTCTAATCCCTATATTTTTGAAATCTAATGAAATATAAAAATCTATGACATGATGTTGAAAAGGGATAAAAAAAATCATAGTTTGTTTCAAGAACCCAGTTCCTTTATGCATCTCCATACATCCTGTAGATTATAGATTAATTTATCAACATGCAAACACATTTATTTAACAAACATATATCCTGTAGATTATAGATTAATTTATCAACATGCAAACACATTTATTTAATCCTGTAGATTATAGATTAATTTATCAACATGCAAACACATTTATTTAATAAACATGTTTCATTCATAAATTTTCACTTCTTTAAAAGTGTTGTTGCTCGGTTTTAAAGTTTAGGAATAAAAAAATGTAGGATTCTTTTGTATCATTAATTTTCTAATATTTTGCACACAATTATTGGGCATTGTTTAGTTCTACAATAGATAGAGAAAAAGAGAAAAAGAAAAGTGCAGGATAACTTGATATTAGAAACTTTGTTTGTAAACTTTATATTGCTAAATGTGTTTCTTGTGTTTACTGTACACAGTGCACTGTACACTATGCAATGTACACTATGCAATGTAAAAAATAAAGTCAAAATGAATTAATGATAATATCTTGGGCTACGCCGTCGGGTTTATCATTGAATTACTCGGGGGTTTAAATTTCCATTAGTTCTAACTTGTGTGAGAGTAAATGATATGTTAAAGTTCAACCCTTTTCAACCCTTTTTTTCACGACATAACTTAAAAAGTTTTGGTCAGAGGCTGTTCAAATCATTATCTTTTTCTAATCAATACATGCCCCTCACCAAGAATGTAAGGCAAGGAAAGTCAATTGCGGTTGTGTAAACTCTGTGTACATATTGAAACCAGTTCTCTTTGGGGGATGTTATAGACAATAATAGATGCATCAGTGTTCGTTCAGTATTCGAGGAGGGGGGTTCAATGGAGAATTTACTTCTCCTTAGTACTGTCTGTGAAAACATTTATTTGGAGGGTAAGTGATTAAAAAAAATTACCAATCGTCCAATCTTTTAAATTTTCATGCTCATCATCTAAATCTTTGATTTTTCTGTGCAAATTCAAGTTTTCTCCTCCGTTTAATTGTAAAATTTTCTTTGGTTTTGGGGCTTTTTCTTAATTATAATTATAATGCCTTTTGATCATTACTTCTCCCTCTTCCATTTATTATATATTTGAATACATATGTCTATTACATTTATTTCAATACATTTGTCTCTCACATTAATTATATATTTAAATACATTTGTCTTTTACATTCATTATATATTTCAATACATTTGTCTATTACATTTATTTCAATACATTTGTCTCTTACATTCATTATATATTTGAATACATTTGTCTTACATTCATTATATATTTAAATACATTTGTCCTTCAGTAGAGATGGAGACACCCCAAGGAAGTGAAGAAAAGGATACAGAATTTGTTTCTTCATTGATTTCTTCCCAGGTTAACTATTTTAATGTAAATTTCAAAGACATTTAACATGTGTTTTAAATAAATAATTTTAGTATGTTTAGGTTCTAGATGAAGATAAACAGAATGAGATATTGCAGCCTGGTATTATTCTACTAGAGGACCAAGTTGAGGTTCAAACTCTAGACCAGTTGGGTCAGTTGCAGAAGAAATCTGCAAATGAGGCAGTAAGTTACATTGCCGGATAAATTGCCAAGAAATTGTGTAACAAAATTGAAGGCCTCATATCTGAAACCACAACCAGTAGCTGGATTAATCTTAAAAACCGGGGATCACTGTATTTTTCAAGCAAGGAGCTTGTGAAAAGTATTCACCATTATGAAGAAGTTTTTGTCAGGTTACACGGCGAAAATATATGTAGGCAACCAGATCCTATGGGGAGAACTACAGATGCCATTCTGAAGATAGACCAGACCTGGCCAAAACTCGTAGTGGACCTTTTTGTTAAAATACGCTTTTTTCAACGTTTAAGAGTTTTGAACTCTCAGCTCAAGGAAAAACACAAAACCAATTGTGTAAGAAATTTGAAGCAAAAAGCTAGCTCAGTTTATTTTTTGAATAAATTTGTCTAAATATAATGCATTCATTGTTTTATTTTCTTCAGTATAGAATGACTATATGTTGGTAGGCGATTATATTAAAAAAATAAAGACTACTTTTTATTTAAGTTTGTATTGTTAAGAAGTTTTTTTGAAGTCCAAAGCTACTAGAAATTTAAGTTAAACTTGTTTAATTTTATGTTTTTGTGTATCCATGCTGTTTAAAAGCTGGATATAAATCAAAATTAAAATCGAAAGTTGTCTTCATGATATTGATATAATTTTTCAACAAAAAAGACGTTGTGATCCAATTTGTACATTTATTGGGTCTCATTGTTAAATAATTAAAAATGCAGAAGTTTTTCCACAACCTTAGTAAAATGTTACAATGGAATAACTTAAAGTTCTTTTTAATTTTAATAATTTATGTTATAAATTCCTATGACCAGAATAAATCATTGATTTTTTGTTTGAAAGATGGATCCCATGTCAGGCTGTGACACCCCTATTCTTGTGTTTACATTAGAGCCCAAAGACAGTACACTGCAGTAAAAAAAATTCGTACACCACTGAAATGACTTTCCTTGCCTTACATTCATTGCCCCTCACTTTAGCTATTTTACCTTCCTACTCCTAAGTCCTAAGACATACCATGCCTATATGCCAAATTTTACCTATCCCAGACTAAATCTATATTTAGAACTACTTTTAGTCATTGGATTTCAACGTTTTATAGCTGAATATGGAAAGTATTTGTCAAAAGGCCATGTTGCACAAGTTTTGCAAAGAAATTATTTTTACATTTTATTTTTCATTTACGCTTTTAACCCTATTCCTGCTGGGGGGACCTACTCTTGTGTTTATATTAGAACCCAAAGACAGTACACTGCAGTACAAAAAATGCGTACACCACTGAAATGACTTTCCTTGCCTTACATTCATTGATAAATATATGGTTAAATATAGTAAAATTATCTAAATAAAACCTGTTTAGGAGATTTAGAAGTTTTCTTCTTGGCTGCTGGATCCTCGTCATCGTCGTCCTCATCCGAGGACCAAACCCAGTCCCCGGTCTCATTTCTTAACATTTAAACGGACTGTTAACGTTTTTTAAGTATCCATTTATTTGTTTCTTTTTTAAGAAATCCGTACGTCGCTTTTATAGTGAAACTACAATTGAACATATATTTCTTAAAATAAATTATTAATATCTCATTTACTCTTACAACACCCAATGATTGATGAAAAGTCCTACTTATGCAATCTACCCGATGAGAAGTTTTACCTATGCAATCTACTCGATGAGAAGTTTTACCTATGCAATCTACTCGATAAAAAGTCCAACCTCTGCAATCCACCCGATGAAAAGCCAGGAAATTGTCTCATCTACAGGATTGAAAGTCCTACCTATGCAATCTACCTGATGAAAAGTCCTACCTCTGCAATCCACTTGATGGAAAAGTCCTACCTATCACATATACAGGATAAAAAGTCCTAACAATGCTATCAACCCGATGAAAAGTCCCACCTATGCAATCGACCCGATGAAATGTTTTTTCTATGCAATCTACCCTATGAAAAGCCATATCTATGCAATCCACCCTATGAAAAGTCATAACTATCTCATCAACAGGATAAAAAGTCCAACCTACGCGATCCACGATGAAAAGTCCTACCTATGCAATCTACCTGATGAAAAGTCCTACCTATGCAATCTACCCGATGTTCCAGGTTTTCGGTTGGTTTTCTTCACAGCTCTCTGGTTCGTCTCAGGAGCCGGTGTTCCCACCACCAGAACCTAAGACAGGGGTGTAAAATGTTAAGAATTACACACACACCCAAATGAGTCATCACCCCATATCCCCTTATGCTTACCTGTTGTAAATATTTCTTATCCTTGGATTTTTTAAAGAATGCGTGTTTGAGCAAATCCGCAGCTGTCGGTCTCTTAGCAGGATCTTTTTGCAAGCATTCAGTTATCATCTTACGGAACGTTTTTCCTAAAAACAGGGGTATTTATTCTTTTTTAAAATTTTCTATTGCACATAAATGATGTTTTGGGTGAAAAGTATCAAATAAGGGAAAATTTTGCCAAATTTTCATTTATCTTCCTAAATTCTTCAAAATCGTTATATTTTGTTAGGTTCAACATATACAATATACATGCCAAAAATTGATTAAACAAAGATTTTTTTCTGAAATTCACAACCCTGATGAGGGGGGGGGATAATTCTTCAAAATATATTTCCCTGTCTGCAGATAGAATTAAATTATAATTAAATACCACGAAAAAGGTTGCAGTTTATCAATAGTGTTGTCATTGATAAAAAAGAAAGTGCAATACAGAAATATTAGATTAAAACTTAATCTGTTTTAGAAAATGAAAATACCTTTTAATAATTGAATTTGCTTTGTATTTTGTATCTTGTGGTATATTTTACTTAACGGATTGGGGGAATTGCAGTGTTCAATAAATTTAAATAGAAAAACATTCTTTTTCAACTTGTGACAATTTTAAACTGAATTTTATAAATGTAGACTGACATTATTTTTTGTGAAATTAAAAAGATCCTATAAGTATATGTTAAAATTACCAAATGCTTTATACTGCTCCTTGTCTTCAGCTCCGGAGTCCAAGGTGGGGGGTTCATTTTGCAGGGTTAACATCAGCACCTACAGGGTGTTACCAATAAAGGGGTTGTAAGAATAATTTCAAGTAACCATGGCAATACCCGATTCACAACGGTACTTCTGAAACCTTTATCTGATCAATAATGTAAAACATACTGTCGTTTTCTAAGTTTAAAGTGTTTAATTCTGAAATTTCATTTACACTTTCCTGCAGTAGAAATGCGCAGGTAATTTTTTATAGAGAAACCACAGTTGAAAATAATCAGTTTTCAAATTATCAACATGGATATTAGACATCTAATTCATACTTGACCAGACAAAGCTTTGAAGGGTACCGTTGTGAATCGTTTATTGCTATCTTTGCATGGAGAGTAACTTGAAATTACGCTTACAGTCTCTTAAATGATAAAAAATCATCCTTAGAGAGTTGAAACTAAAACTAGCATTTATTAATCTTTAATTGGCTTGTCTGTCTGTTTACAAATAATAAACGTCAAAACGGCTAAACCAAGCAGGCCAAACAAAAAAAGGGATCTTACATGAACCCAGGCGATGTTTACTGCCGTAGAAAATTGACAACAAATAATTTTGATTTCATAAAAATTTCATAAATACGCCAATGAAAATCGTAAAATCTGCGAAATTTGTTTTTGTCATTATTTGAAAACGTAAGAAAGGCTTGCAGAAGCTCTGTAAGAAAAAGCTAAGAAATACAAGAAAGAAGTAAACACAAATTAATTTATGGAATTTTTCGAATGAATTAAAACTACAAACCTTCATAGGAGGGTACTTGTGGTAAGGGGCAGTTCCTAGAACAAAATTATGAATATAATTGACAATAAAAAATTCAAATGACCCATTTAGAGATTAATAAGTAATTATTAACTTCTAATTAATGAACAATTCAGATTTTTGTTTTAAAGCAAACATCATTTTATTTTATTCCTTGGATTCAAATCCTGATCCGGATCCGGAATTTATTTGATATGAACAATCTTTTCAATAATTGAGTATTTATTTCACCTGTAGCAAGTTCTATGGCAGTAATTCCAAAAGACCAGATATCAGCCTTGTAATCATATCCTGTAACCTTAAATACGCTTTTTTACAAACAAAAATTTCAGATGAGACAGTATCTATAAATAAACTCTACCTGTTCCATGACCTCTGGTGCCATCCAGCAGGGTGTTCCGACGAAGGTGTGTCGGGATTTTGCCCGCGAGAGGTCTCCACCAGCGGCCAGCCAGGCGGAGACACCAAAATCCGCAATCTGAATCTGACCGTCAGCACCGAGCAATATATTTCCGGCCTTAATACAGAAATGATATATATTAAAGTCGGCATCATCGGCAGCTTTGGGCTAGATAGACGATATTTAAACCATCTTGCGTGTTTTTGATGATTTTCTTAAGCAGTTTAAAATCAACTTAATAAAAGAAATAAGTCTGTGAAAACTGGACAACTGCAGTGATTCGTGTTCATAACCCTACTAAAACTCAGACCTTGAGTCAAACAGTCGTCTTTCTATTCCACATTTATATCTCAAGGTTTATTGTGAAGTTTTAGAAAAAAGGCGAAAGAAGAGTTTTAACAGACTATAAATATGTTGTTATGAAGATTACATACTTTGTTATATCTTTATATTCCTATGAATATGTTGTTATGAAGATTACATCCTTTGTTATACCTTTATATCTCTATGAATGTGTCCGTTGTTATGAAGATTACATCCATTGTTATACCTTTATATCCATATGAATATGTTGTTATGAAGATTATAAACATTGTTATACCTTTATATCTCTATGAATGTGTCTGTTGTTATGAAGATAACATCCACTGTTATACCTTTATATCTCTATGAATGTGTCCGTTGTTATGAAGATATTCTAAGCCTCGTAAAACATCTCTGAGGACTGTTGCTATAACAATCTCGTCCAACACTCCACCCTAACACAATCAATATTAAAGGGACTGCAGAAGTGACATGTCTGATTCCCTAAAGTACTTCAAAAACCATTCGAAACATGTCGCTGTTTTCGGTCTTAAAAATTCTGAACATAAATCAGCATGTCATTTTTACAGAGAAACCACGATGGAAATAATCAATTCATTAGCCTGAAATCTAAGAATCTCATTCATCCATGACACTCCACAAATAGAGCGTTCACTTGAAATTTCGCCTTCAACCCCTTCTTAAGCAGGGGTTCATTTAATTCCGTCCAATGCTATCAAAAATGTGCGGGGCGGAAATTCACCATGTCCAAGTTGCTGCTGTTGTTGTAAACAACTGGAAGTATGATGTCATGTTGTTAGAAAAGTTCATAATGACACAGACATTTTCCGTCTCAAAATTAACGTTCAAGCCCAATACCATCGGGTTCAGAGATAAAATTACATGGACCCCTGGTTTGGTTGAAAAATGTTTCAACCTTGATGAAATAAAATGATTAAAGTCATCAACAACTTGTTTGCTACCTTACAGTCCTGAGCTTTCATTTTGTGCTTGATTATATCCAGCAGAGATCCAACCTCGAGCAGCCTAATAAATCGGTCAATCAATAAATCAATCTGTCGACCAATCAATCAATCGGTAAATCAACCTATCAATCAATCAGTTAGCCAATCAATCAATAAATCAGCATAAATCCACAAGCCATCAGTCCGTTGACAATTTCTGAAGGATTGGACAACTTAGGAACCTTAGAACGGACTCTGAAAAGAGAATAAAACCTTAAGGTTTCAAACTATCTCTTATTTCTATATTCAGGAAGTTGTGTAAGTGAATAGATTAAGAACTTCAGAACAAACTCCGAAAAGAGAATTAAATCCTACAGTCCTCTTATCAGATCTATATTTAGAAAGTTGTAGAATCCTTCTCAGTCAGACAATCAAACAACATCGAGCATCTTTAATTAATCAATCAATCATCCCATCAATCAGTCAACACTTGAAAATAATCAATAATTTATCACGATCAACACCTTTCCATCCATCAATAAAGTCAATTAACCAAGCATTCAATTAATCTGATTAAAAAATCAATAAATAAATCAAAAAAGAAACCAATTAACATGATCCAATAAATCATTGATTAGATCCAATTCAATAAAATTTATCAGTTTAATCATTAAATCAATCAACAAAGCAAAAAATTATTCTGATTAACAAATCATTAAATCAATGAATCGATCCAATCCATCAATAAATTGTTGATTAATAAATCAATATCGATCAATAAAATCACCTGAGAACTAGCCAGAGTTCCTCCTTGACAACAAAAGATGTGTAATAACGAACAACATTCTCGTGGTTACAGGAGGACATTGCCTACACACAAGAAATCATTCATTCTTTCTTTAAAATCCAGGACCCAGGTTAACATATTATTCTTAATGTTTAATTATGATCTGTCTCTTACATTTCGTAATAATGATCTGGGATCAACCTATCAATCAATCAGTTAGCCAATCAATCAATAAATCAGCACAATGATGGCCAGAACTAAAGCTGAACTAAAATCATTTACAGTGAAATCAAGAAATTCTCATTATACTTCAATAGGAGTCCTGAGAATCAACACCACATAAACATAAACAAACTCTGAATAATTATTATTAATAATTAATTATGAATAATTATTTCGACTGTACATCAATATTTATATGTAAAGTAGTAATCACTGTTTGTTTGTCTTGACTGTCTGTTTGGGCGTCCGATTAATATTCAGGAACCCCTTGACCGATTTGCCTCAAATTTTGATTGGGGAAATGTTCTTAGCTTACTTTAAAAAGTGTAAGCTGAGGTGGTTGACTTTTACACCGAAAACTCCAAGCAAAGCTGGGTTCCGAAGCTAGTATCAAATAAAGACTTTTCCATATTTGACAAAAAGAGAGGTCGATTAAGAATTTTTGAAATCTTAATTTTATCAGTTTTAGTAGGACGCATTAAGGGGAAAAACATTTGAAATTATTTAGTTTTTAAAACAAACTTATATATATATGTGTCTAAAGTTTTTTGAGTTTTTTAATTAGATATTAAATTTTTGCGATAACCACGTTTTTAAGTTCTGTGTTTCAAGAAGGACCATTTTTCAAATTTACTTGTCACACCTAAATTAAATTGTTTAAAAGATGTTTTAATTTTTAATGTTAATTTTTACTACCCAATGGCAATATGTATGGGTTAAGTTAAGAGAAATAGCCTAAATTAACATAATTGATCAATTAATGATATGATTCTCACACAATAAAAGAAAAACGCAGAGACCATAATGTGGAGTTATAAGAAATAATAAATAGGTCTGAATCAAATTGCAATCTTAAGATAAGAACATCTCCGAGGATTAGACTAACCTGAATTTCTTTAAGTAATTCGTCCATACTTGTATTCCATTTCTCAAGATTTATTCGCTTAATTGCGCACCTTTCATTACGGGGCAAACACAGAGCAGACTAAAAGTAAATGATTGAATTAATTTAATGTATGCCTTTACATTTTTTTGTAGTCAATATTTTGAAAATCCTTTTGCCCCCCTCTCCCTCCCTTTGAAGCTTTGAATATTTAATAAAAAATGGAACTTTAGAAAACAAAATTTTTAATACATTTTTCGAGGCCTATGACTTAACAATTCGTTTAAATTTCTAGTCCGAATTAACCCATAAAAAAGATTTAAATTTTGGCGTTGATGGTGTTCCAAACCTCATAGAGTAGGTGTTTGTTTTGTTATTGACAGGAAAAACATTTTTAAATTTTGATATTATTACAATAAATTAGAAAATATTGTTTATTGTTTCTGAACCTGAACTACTGCAGTTGCTCCGACTCCGATGACCTCCTTGAGTTCATAATCCTTGGCATGGTTTGGCCAGGCGGAGCTGGGTCCTGCCTCGTCCTTCAGTTCCGCCATTTTACTTAACCAAAATACTATCCTGCCGCCATCTTGGAAAAATTTGGCGGGAAAAGGCACGATACTTTAAATTAAACTGTGTCCCTTGTCGACACAATTTCAAGTGGACATCCATTTAAACTATCAAATATATATCCTTCATATTTATCCTTATCACTTATCCTTCAAATATTTATCTCATCGAAAATGATAGAAATCTATATCTGAAGTGTATTACAGATTTATGCAGTATGGACAAGGAATAAATTGACAACGATAACTACCTCATTAATATTGTCAAATAATTAATGATTAAACTAGTAACGATGTAAATTGGTCATAAAATTTTGTAGAGGGTTCCTTTAAAATGTGAAGATTAGAGTAGCAACCAAGGGTTACTCTAAAGTGATAATAAATGTATGTAAAAAAATACAGAATATCCTCCTTTTTTTCATATTTTATCATAAAAACCGACAATTTTATAATAATAAAAAGATTTGGCAGAATAGTATATCCCCACCGGGATTAAAACAGGAGTTTGTCTGAAAATTATTAAAAATTAGAACAAATACTTCTCTTAATTTAACTTAAGATCAAACTAACAGAAAAACATTAACGTACATAAATAATTAGAAAAATTTGCTATAAAATGATTGCAAAATTTCAACGATTAATGCGAAGGTTTTACTTGATTTTATTTCAGTCAAAAATGTGCTTTTTCAGAAAAAAAAACATTTTCATCTAGTTGCATTTTCTGGCCTAATTTTACAAAGAACTCCATTAAATAGACATTATGATATGAAAGAAAGAACATGATAAATAAAGTTTAAATAATACCATTATCACATCATGCGGATTTTCTATCAACCTATTAATAATTAAGATATCTTTGCGAATTTTTAAACACTAGTAATATTTAGTGCCTATAAAAAAAAGACTAGAAAATTTTTTCGAAAATTTGAAACTCGCTTATTTTAAACTAGATATTGATAAAATATTGAAAACATAACATCTAATAAATTTAATAATTTAACTTCAAATAAATCATTAACGATGAATATGTTTTTATAAACATAAAATCCACGAACTAAAATTTTGTCAAAAATGTAACAATCCACATTTTTAAACAGTAATTTACATTATAATTGTTATTAAATAAAAGTGTTAGTTTTTGCTTATAACTCATAAAATGAGTATATCGTAGGTTCTTCAGTACAATTAAACTGCTCACTGTACTGCACGTGTACAGTGTACAGTACGTGCAAAGTGTACATATAAATCGAATACATTGGATTATTGCGGACTGTACATCACTAAACACGTACATACATTTTACAAACCAAAATGGAAAATTATAAAAACTGAAAATATGGTTTTATGGGGATCAAGAAATCTCGGAATGCGAGAAACACAAGAAAACTTCAAAAGAAAAATGTCGCCTTTTCTTATTCAGAAAAAAAACTTTTATCCATGAGTCGTCGAATTATAATATTTAGTAAGTATTTTAGAATATCTAAAAATATTATTCCATTTCTTAGTAGTTCTTCGTAACATAAACACTAAAAGGGAAAAAGAGGGGGGGTCGCTAGATGTGTGATATAATTGAAAGCAGGGGTGGGAATTAAGGGTTAATAATAAGATGAAGGGAATAAAGGTGTAGAGGAGGGAGGTATAGTAATAAGATGAAGGGAATAAAGGTGTAGAGGAGGGAGGTATAGTAATAAGATGAAGGGAATAAAGGGGAAGGGGAGGGGGTATAATAATAAGATGAATGGAATATAGGGTAAGGGGAGGCAGGATGAAGGATGTAGATTGTAGATGTAGGGAATAAAGAGGGAGAGGAAGGGGAAGGAGTATATATAATATAATAATATTATTAAGGGATAACAGGGGAAGGGAATGGGTGAAGGGGGAAGGATGAGTTAACCTTATATCACAGATTACGACGCTGCGTATATTTCCTCTAGCCTGACGCAGGACGGCGTAGGATAGTTCTGTGCCTTCTTAAACAGGTTTTGAGATCCGCTGTACCGAGCCTAAACATTTTATAGTGTACATTATGTACAGTTTATAGTGTACATTATGAAATAAGAAATTGATAGAAAAATTCTGTCCATCAAAATAATTTGCATTTTACCCAATTGACAATTTACAAATTGTGATTGATATATCGACTTTAAAAAGCTTCTAATCTTTCTAATCTAAATAGTGATAACAATAAAATAATCAAAAAATAACAGAATTAAAAAAGAAAATCTGCGATTTTTTTCAATTTCAAGGAAAAATACTTGCAAGAATGCAATGCAATATAAAAAAGCACCCAAGTAGCATTGTAAAATTTGATTACCTGCCAAAGAAGGTTTTCTTTGTAACTCTTTTCTTGGTAACACCGGGACTTAAGATGACTGAAAATAAGTTTAAAATTTTATTTCAGGATTAATTCACAACGCTACCCTTCAAACGTATTTTTGTTAAATAATATGCAAGTTAACATTGTTTTTCTGAATTAAAGATATATATATATATATCTATATATATATAATCATAATATTTTCTTCAATATTTCTCAAATAAGACATTCGCAATCTATTTTGCAGAGAAAGCAAAAAGAAAAAAAAATCCGTTTTCATAAACGTTTTCAGACAACGTTTCTTTCAAAATCAAGGTTGACTTAAAATCACGTTTACAGTTACAGGAAATAAATTAAGGATAAATCCCATTTAAATGATGGGGATGATTTTTTATAAGATGTGCATATTTATACTTGAACTTCAAAACCCCTTGTTTTATCAGTTTTTTTTTCAGAAGTAAAACATATTTTTGTTGTTTTCCACGCTTAACAGTATTAAAAGCGGGGGAAACATGCCAGTTTCAGCCTAACTTTTTACCCTCTCAAATATTTTTCTAAATATTTGACCCTGGATTATTTACCTGAGAAAGTCGTCTTCAATCTGTCTCTCAAGTTTTCGCAGACTGCCAGTAAACTCCTGGAAATTAATCAATTATTAACCCAAATTATCTTCTTTCTTTATTTCTTTAATTCAAACTGGAACACACTCTGAACTACTATAAATTCCTGTCACTGGAAAAGCTAAACAGATACGACAAAAATTAAACTTAAAATGAATTATTGAAAAAGCAAATCATTGGGCGGCACTAATCCAAGTTAAAGGACCGTTTACTTATTTGGGTAATTCGAGGGTAAACTAATTGCCTATAAGCTATTTATTGGTATTTGTCTTACTTTTCAAAGACAACTGAGGCCGAAGAAAAGCCCGATTTTTCGTTCAGAATTCCAGCGCAAAGGAACAGTACTTTTGTCTAGACATTTGATGCTTTTCTCATAAGACATGGATTAAAATAAAATTTCAAATTTTAAATTAAATTGTAGTATCAAATAGTTAATTGCAAATATCTTTAATTTCTTCCAATTATCTAAAAATTGCCTTTTTTTAAAATATGACTTATTTTAAACATCTGACAAATTAATACGTTTTCCCTAATTCCCAAGGCATCCCCGAGTTGGAATCTCGGAACCGGTTTGACGGACAGAGAAGGTCGTCTTTGTATAAACGTGTTAGATCATATTTGAAAAAACGTCAATTTCTTGCTAACTCAAATATTAAAAGTTTTATATTTTAGTATGTAATGTCATTGTAATTTGATAATTTTTTTTTGGGGGGGGGGGGCTGTTGTTGCTGAAAAACGTCTGTTGAAGTGTTTCAGACAAAGTTACCGTACCTTTGCGCTAGAATTCTGAACGAAAAATCGTTTTTTCTCCTGCCACAGTTGTCTTTGAAGAGTAAGACTAATAACAATTTACAGCTAATAGGCTGTTTAGTTTACCCTCGAATCACCCAAATAAATAAACGGTCCCTTTAGTGTATGGACAGTGGACACGTGACAGGATCTGGCCGGTACAAATGCCGGTACGAATTTTGTAGAGTATTCTTAATCCCTATCAGTCTTGTCTTAGATGTGAGTAAACATGTGATGAAGTCATTGAAGTAATATCAATAATTTTTATATAACAATTATGAACGTTGTTGTAATAATGAGGATGAAATACACATAAATAATAAATAACGTAAAAGCATAAACAATTTATTAATTTGAGAAACAAAAATTTAGTGTTAGTTTTTTAAAGGAAATGAAGAACAAAATTATTGGGTTTTATCATGGGGGAAAATCTTAAACATAATTTTAGGAACAAAATTGATTTTCTCTTAAACATTGAACAACTAATTTTAATGCAAGGTTTTTTCCTTTCTTAAAATTTTAATTTTTAAACGTTCTTTACCTGGTGGAATGATTCCTTTACGTAGTAGGTAACCTTGATATTCGTCGTTCTTCGTCCAACATTATACTAAACATTGACATTCGTCGTTCATCGTCCAATATTATACTAAACATTGATATTCGTCATTCTTCGTCCAATATTATACTAAACATTGATATTCGTCATTCTTCGTCCAACATTATAGTAAACATTGATATTCGTCATTCTTCGTCCAACATTATATTAAACATTGATAATCGTCATTCTTAGTCCAATATTATACTAAACATTGATATTCGTCATTCTTCGTCCAACATTATACTAAACATTGATATTCGTCATTCTTCGTCCAATATTATATTGAATGTTTGTTAATAAAAATTGGTAGAAAATCATCTACAGAAAGCCGTCGGTGTCAATGTGACAAAAGCATTAAATATTTTTTACCAAAAACATAAATTTTTCCAAACCATAAAAAGTTATTATATTTGGTACCTTATGCGTATGATCGAATGAGTACAAGGGATCATTTACAAAGAGACTGCTGAAGAGTGACATAAGAATAAGAAAGAGGATCGGTAACAACTGGAAGAGAGCCCCAAATCCTCCCTAAAAAAAAAGTCTCCCTCAGATATGAAAATGCGAGAAGCCATATACGTACAGTGTGAGTAAAAAAAAAGTGTGATTAGCGGCGTCTGGTGCAAAAGTGTACCTTTTTTGTGCAACTATCCTTTTTTGGTATTCAAATGGCCAAAAAAATACGCAAAATTTTTTTTTCTCACAAAATTGTAAAAAGAAAACTCTCAATTTTTAGTTCTGGTCTAATTTATGAAGCAAGTTGTTTTTCAATGGCTCCTCAGTTTTCAACTGAACACCATATATTTATAACTTCAGAATATTCTAAGAAGTAAGGAACTAGAGGATTATTAAGATAACATTATTCAAGATTTTCAAGAAAAATTTCGTGATCTGAAAATTACGAATTTTCAATTACAATATTGCGAATTTTCTGTGATTCTGTGATTCAATATTTAAAAACTGTTAGAATTTGATAGAAATAATATACTTACACATTTTTGCTTTTCTGAACTTTTGATTTTGAGAGAGCAAAGTTTCGCAGATTTTTTTGCCATTGGAGTTACAAAAAAATAGGTACAATTTTGCACTAAACGCCTCTAATCACACTTTTTTTTTACTCACCCTGTAAATCTCCAAAACTCCTAGTTCTGTTTCTTACTAGAAATATTAACATGTCTATGGATGCAAGTATGAGAGTACGCAAGCATGCAAGGACGCAAGGACGGTAAATTTTCATAATTCACAAGTTGCATCCATTCATAAAAAATATCAGGAAAGTTTCTTAAAAATATTTTTTTCTGATTGTGATGATCTGGGGAAAACGAAAAGTTTAACATCAAAAGGCAAGTTTTTTCATTCTTTTGATACTTCTCCCCCAACAATTCAATTAAATCATTAGTTTCCCCAATTCAGCGCAAATACGACCCTTATAAAACATACTGACTTATGGGGGGGAATGATTTCAAGAAAATTACACCACTGGTTGAAGGTTAATCTCAACTCTTTGTTTAATGTATATTAATGATTAAGAGTGTATTAAGAAGTCTAGTTTTAATGAAAACACAAAAACCAGTCAACTCAACATTGAACAACACAAAAAAATGTATAAAAAAGTTAAAATGATCAATACATTGAATCTAGGGGTCCAAAAATTGGGCCTCGTACTATGAAATTAAGTTGTGAAAATATTAAAAAAAACAATCGGGGNCATGTCGAATCAAACACTACAATTAAAGGGCCATAAGCCTTGCCACACACCTGTTCCTGTGAATGCTGTTGATGCTCCTGCGCATGTCCAGCTCCTGCCCCTGATCTAGTCCATCTACCCCCTCGTCGTACATACACTAAACAATAAATAATAGATTGTAGCGGTGTCGTGCATAGGGACAACTCCCTGCATGGAAACACCTCCCCCTAAAGTAATAACCATTTCAACACAAGTGTTAGACTTAAAAAGCAGTGTTATGACATTTTCCGATATTTATAAATGTATTTTGATTGGAAAACACATTAAAAATTATCTATGTAATTATCTATGTCTCGAGTAAATATTAATTATTTTATGATTTTAAAGGAAGACAACATTCGAGAGGAAATTATTTTTTTTGCCTTCACCTCCTTTAAAATACATTTAAGAACTAAACGCGAATTTAATATATGTCAACAGATAATTTTCAATATTTTAACATTGAATATGTCCAACATTGTGTTGAAATGGTTAAAACTTTAGATTGAGGTATTTCCATGCAAGGGAGGTGTCCCGATGCACGACAGACGAGTCAATATCGTCTTCATTGTCAAGGAAGAAATCCACAAACAAGATGTTTTAAAATCCGCAAGTCAGTAGTTCCGGAGACAAGATCATGGATAGAACTTCTATCCTTTCTCCTCATCTACACTCTCATTACATATGTGATTACTCATCCTTCTGTTAATAAAATAGATCTGGCATATCTTTGCTTTAAGATTTTATAGATCTTTCGCTATTATTGCTCTATTGGAAACCCACTTTTCTCGGTAAAATATAAATTAAACCTTAATAGTCTTGCCTCCGAAAACCAAATAAAATCCCTCCTACCTGAAGAACCTGGCATGCCGCCTCCGAAGAACATGTTAAATATCTCCTCCGCAGTCATATCCCCCTGGAACCCGTGGCTTGGATCCTCGTATTCGTAGAACCCGCTTCTCTGGGTCCGCCTGGACCTAACAAGGACAATATTCAATCAATCAATAAATCCATAATTTAACATTAAGTATCCAATTTGTCTTAACTCCAGCCATGAATTCCAAATTCAAATATCACTTGTGTAAACTACTGTTCAATGAACTACTGTTCACTGAACTACTGTTCACTGAAATACTGTTCACTGAACTACTGTTCACTGACCTTCTGTTCACTGAACTTCTGTTCACTGAACTTCTGTTCACTTAACTACTGTTCACTGAAACTGTTTACTGAACTGATGTATACTAAACTAATATTCACTATGCTACTTTAATGCTACTGTACAATGTAGGTACACTTAACAACTGTAAAACCGTACCTGGGTGCACTATCTTCATCTCCATATAGATCGTACTGTCTCTTCTTCTCAGTATTGGAAAGTACAGCGTAGGCACTCCCGATAGCCTGAAGAAAGAGAAGGTATAAAGAACCCGTGTCAAGTAAGACATTTTGTAATATCTCTTTCAATATTAATAGCAGCCGGTTCTATTTTTGAATGTAGACTCATATAATTTGTTAGGAGCAGGATATGAAGTCAGATTGTCGATATCTCTTTCCGGAGTCTTGGAACCTTTGAAAAGTGACATCCGTCGGCTCATTTAGGAATCCGGCCGCTCCAAATAATTTGAAGCTAGTAGTTCTAGAATGGGATTCGTCCATCATTAAATAAAACGATGAACAGTGTGGATGTACATCTTCACAGAGGTTTCAAGTCTCCGAGAAGAGATATCCGTAATCTGATTTTATATCCTGCTCCTAGGTAATTAGAACCGGCCACCATCTATAAAAGGAAGGAAAATATACTATAAAAGGAAGGAAAATATAATGTAAAAAGTTGATTTCTTCACTTTTAAACGTATCGAAAAAAAGCACTTTTCGGCACCCTGTTTTAACATCAAAAACTTGAATATTTTTTTTCATTCATTTTATGGGCTATTGGGAATATTTTTTTTAATTGGCTATTTATGTCTAACGAGGCCGGAGATACAAAATTGGAGCCGACGGAGGTCACTTTTCAGAGGTTCAAAATCTCCGGAAAGAGATATTGGTAATCTGACTTCATATCCTGCTCCTAGGTAATAATATAACATTATTTTTAAAATTAGAACCAGCCACCATATATAAAAGGCAGGAGAATGCCAAAAAAAGGGTGATTTGTCAAAAAAAATAAATATATATAAACACCCCGTAGCCCACGAAAAAATTAATTTTTTGAAATTTTTTTTTTCATTAATGTGTTAGATAATAATATAAATAATATTATATCTTTTCTTTTACTATTTTATCTTTTCTGCTATTAATATTGAAAGAGATATTACAAAATGTCTTACTTGACACGGGTTCTAATAAAAATAAGGGTTAATTGTTAAAATCGCTTCAAACAATTAGAAAATCAAAAGTTTTGTCAAACAGTGCTTAGGATCTATTTTATTCTAATATGGATCCGGATCCTGGATCAAACCTGAAAAAAATGGATCCAGTTCCAGGTCATGAACTTTCAAGATCAACGAATTTTTTTATTCAATTTAATTTGTCTTCTTTTTAGCTCATTTTAACACTTGATGATGGAAAAACTTAGTAATTTTTTGAATAGTTCGGATATGGACTTTAACTTTTTTTTCTCAGTTTTTGGTAGATATATTGTCCCTTGAATCCATCCGGATCCTTGGATCCGCATATTTTTGCAGATCTTCATCCGGATCCAGGAAGACAAAATGTTAGGGATCATATGGATCCGGATCCTACGGACTGTCTTTTGGATAAAAAGCTATAAGTTATATTTTTTATGATGCATTTTAAACTCTTATTTCAATGAGTAGTAAATAAATAAATTTGAGACAATAAATCAATTTCTGTTCCGGATTGAGTTGTATAAATCCTTATCTTGGATTTATAGCTTCTTGTTTTCTTTTCAAAAAGAAAAATCCTCCTATTTATTAAGTAATAATTCTCAGAACAGTAGAAAAATAAACCAGATTTGTATATTTTCTTATAATCGATCCCCACCCCCCTCGTTGAAAGATAGTTTTTAGGTATGTTTCCCAATTATACACCCCAGAAACAGTGCTTAGGATTCCAGATCCGTTGGATCCGCAAGATTTTGGCTTCCTGGATCCGGATCCGCAAAAATATGCGGCGTGGATCCGGATCCAAGGGGTAAAATATCAACCAAAAACTGCAAAAAACCTAAATCTGAATTTTTGAAAGAGAGATTATAAAAATTTCCTCATTTCTGAATGGTTCATCAAGTTCATCCAGGATCCGGATCAGCATCAGCATCAAAATTAAATGGATCCTAAGCCCTGCCCAGAAATAAACCTCAGTTCCCTAAGGATAAAGGGAAAGGGAAAATCATATAATTGCAGACCCGAGAGAAAGTTTATAAATTTGGCACGATTTTATTCGTTTTCCGGTTAAATACTTTCTCCAAACCTACTTATTTCGGAAAGAAATTGGGACAATTTAAACTACACTCTTGTTCCAAATCCATTAACTCCTCATTTCGATGATGAACGAGAAAACTTTTAAAAATTGCAAACATGTTAAAAGTAACATTTTTATAGAATCTGTGGAAAAACTGTTGCCAGAAGTTCCAAAATAAGGTATTATCCATTACTTGAGTTACACACCATATTAAAACACGGTGTCTTAGGCTGCGGAATTTTGTTAAAGCGACTTCAAAAATTTAACAGAATTTATCACGATCAATAAAAACGATGATAGTATTACTCATACAGTGTGACCCATAAAACTATGGAATAGGAAAACGATATTTTAGTAATGTTTTGAGTAGTAATAAAGCAAATAGGTTTAGTGGCTAGAAAATCAACTTATTAAGTGAAACGGGACTGTATCAACCGCACAACTGCTGTATTTCATGTTCTTTGGTCATACTTGAGTTTAAAAGTCGTCTTACTATTCCACAATTAAATGGGTCTCACAGTGTAAAGTTAAACAGATATCATGGCGAATTGGGAAAATGAACCTGGTCACTCTAAATTACGTCAACAGTCCCTTTAATTACAAAAAACTAGCCTTGAAAGCTTCTCCAGCTCCTGGTGCCTTGTTCTTGTCTGGATGAAAAGCCAGGGCTAGTTTCCTGTACGCTTTCTTCAGTTCAGACTCAGAGGAAGTCTTATTCACGCCGAGAATTTCATAATAGTTTTTACATTTCCGTATACGCTTCACAGCTTCTATTTGTTCCTAAAAAAATATTCACATTAAAATAAAATATTTATTTCGTCAGTGTTAATTGTATCTAGAAAAGAAGATATTTTCAAACTTTTGGCAGTACAGTACAGTACAGAATAGTACGGTACAGTACATAATAGTACTAATATTAAAGAGGCTATGATAATAAATCTTAAGGGTTTTTCTGATATGAAACTCTGTAGAGCTGGTTGTAACAACTTCATCATTTCTAGGTTCAGGATATATCATGGTCTTGACTAGTACCTGGGTATACTCAGCAGAACTAGTTGTAGCTTCATCATTACTAGGTTCAGGATATTCACTGTTACGACTAGTTTCGGTCTAAAATAATAAATGTCAATACTTATCTTTATTAACAGTAAAATGGGTAAAACATCTCTAATAAAAATCAGCCCCAAACCTCCCCCGTTGAAAGTAAATTTGCCCAAATATAAGAAATAATTTATTAGGTTTTAATTTATATAGCTAAACTTATATTGGGGGGAAAGTATCAAAACTCATTAATTTAAATAAATAATATTTTTTATATGAAATCTTTTAAAATTAGTATTGAACCTTAAAAGGGTTCTTATTTTACGATTCTAATCGATATGTTGACGTTAATTTAAAACTTTGTTCTAAATACCAAAATATTTTCAATTTTGTGCTGTGCACGGGTGCAAACAGAAGTCTCCAAAAGACGCTAGAAAATTTATATAAAATGTTAGACAAGTCAAAATTACATATTACTTAATGACATACAATGCTGTAAAAGTGTACACAATATCAATTACCTTCGAATTTTCCTTTGATCTGCCCACCTCCATTTCTCTAACTGTTTCTAGTAGTTCACGACACTAAACCATCAAATCAGATTATTATTTTATTCTTCTCCTGTTCACTATTCTTTTTGGGACATTCTGTAAACCCCAAACATATTTTCACAGTTCACATGTGTCCAAAGTATGGTGTACATTGCACACTAAGTATAAAACACTAGGTTTTGTTTAATTTAAATAAAAGTTCTTTCATTAATCGTTCAACAAACTTTGAACTGAGGCTAAAACACGGACATACAAATTAAGCAGATAAGAATTTAGGATCAAAGGAATTTTATGTTTGCAAACTTTTTATGAAGGGGCCATTAAAAATAGTTTCACACACCTTTTCCATCTGGTTATCAATAAAAAAACTTTCAATAAAACATTAGTTCCAATCCCATTTTTAACCCAAGTTTGGTCAATGGGTCATAAACCCGCTTTGGAACTAATTCCCCTGGGGCCAGTTTAAAGGGTGCTCCACTCTATCTTTTATTTACTATTCAAAATAAATCTAAAATATATTTCTAAATATGTTTTATGATTCAATGAGACCTTTAATTACACAATTTATTTTTGTACGAGAGGATTTTTCAATGATTTTGAGCGATATCAAATTCTTTAGGATTACCGTATAGACATCGACAACGAAAAAAACTTACTCTTTTACTAGGATAGAGTTTCATAGCTTTCTGGACAAATTTCTCTGCTTTCGCTTTATCGCCCTGCTGGACACACCTAGAGAATATTATCATGAGTAATAATAAAACAGATGTATAACTTACCCCCCCCCCCCTCTGAAAACTATCTATTCTGCAGAATTTTATGAACATTTTATTATTAGGACAAATATAATCGACTCGAATAATTTTCAACATTTTCAACTCGATATTTTCTCTGATAATGAGATAAAAAAAACTAATGACTTGTGACTATTTTAGGGTGAGGTATAGGTTAAGAAAATTTCTTGGCGGCACGGACAGGCCATGGAGACGATCGCTGAGGCTAAGACAGGCTGGAACCGAGGCAAGGAGAATGGAATAAAATGATATGATAAATACATGATTTACAGAGGCCGTTCTCTCCTTAAAAATGTTTGAACAGTGGCTGTACGATATTTTGGCCGCCAAATGTTTCACACTAAATTCTTATCTGATAGATAATTCATACGATCACAACTGAGAAACGTCATTTGGTCGACTGTAATGTTGGAAGGATTGGCCTTAGACGGTACTCCATTTGGAAAAGAGTTTTTTTTTAAATGTCGTCTTTAAATTTTTTAATGTGATTTTTTCACTTATTTTATATATTATAAAACAAATACGTTTGAATTGCCAATATTTCAGCTTTCCAAAATGTGTTTGTTTGGCGTTATTTAGCCTACTTTTTTCCCTGTTTAACATATACAAAAACCTATTCTGAATACATGTATGCGGTTTTGTAACATAATATTTCTTATTGAAATCAAATGGAGTACCGTCTACAAAGCATGTATATTGTATAATCATATGGGCCGGGCAAAGAGTATGGAATATAAGGATGAAGGAAACGACCCAGCCCGCCCTACTATATGATATACATGTTTTGCAGACGGAGAGGAGGAAGGCCAACCACAACAATTTCTCGTCCGAGCTACAATATCCTCATGTTCTCGTCCGAGACACGTCGAAATCCTCGTCCTTTCAATATTATTTTTTCAGTGTCTAATCCTCCGATGAATGAAATATTGAATTTTTGTAAATCTCGAAAAAGAGTTTTAATTGAATTAAAGTTTTCAAGTTAATCTTTTACCTAAATAAAGTTTGACATCATTCTCATGGGTTTGAAGATGATGTAATCATTGCAATACTTTAGTCCATCCATATTTTATGCCCTAACGTGGCCAAATTTTAAAAAAATAGTTTTATCTTCGAGATTTGGAACATTTAAAACCCAAATAATCGAAGAACGAGGATTCCGAGGTGGCTCAGACGAGAAAATGAAAATGTGGCTCGGACGAGAAATTGTTGTGGCTGGCCTTCCTCACCTCGCAGACGGTACTCCATTTGATAAATAGTTTTTAATGGTAGTCTTTAAATTTAAATGTGGTTTTTAACTGTTTCATATTATATGAAACCGATTTTTTTTAAATAAGTTTGCATTGCCAATATTTTTGCACCACAAAAATGTATTTGTTTGGGAAATTTAGCCTAAGTTTATCCCTTTTAAGTGCATACAATAACCTATTATGAAAACATTTGTATTTGTACATCAGACAATTATTTCTTATTCAAATGGAGTACCGTCTGCAAAGCATGTATATTGTATAATCATATGGAAGGGCAGGCCGGGTCGATTCTTTCTCCTATATATTCCATACTCCTTGGCCGCAACTCTTTTTATCTAATATACTGTATGCACAAAGCTCCATACTCCGGTACTCATATCCTATACTCCGTGGACCGAGCGCTGGNGGGTGCAAATCTTAAACTTTTGGAATGAACACATAATATATGTTATCCCAACCGAACCAAACATTATACCATTATATCGTGTGATTCCTCTTTGACAAAGATGTAAATAATAATACTTTATTTCGTCAGCAATTAAATTAAGATTAAATCATGATGATTATCGTATTTAAACTTTCCAGAAATAAAAAAGTCTTGGTAATTTTCTAGTAAAGGATTTTTGGACCCCCTCTCTCTATTTTGTACATAATTTTTTATCGATTTTTTGAAAGTTAAAAGAAGACACACATTGATAAAGTTAGTCTTGTGGCTGCAGTTCCCGGCCCCCTAGCCTGTCCTAGCCGCAGCGCTCGGCCCCCTAGCAGAGTATCCTAACCTAACCCTAAATATATACTAATGTTGTTGAAAATTATTGAAATTAAGGTCGAGTCCTGTCCGCGGCGCTCATACCCCTAGCCTGTACTAGCCGCAGCGCTCGACCCAGAAATTTTCCTAACCCAACCTTACCCTTAGATGATACAAAATAAATATATTTTATGTTAATGATCAGTGTTTCGGATCCGGATCCGTATCAGGAAACGTTGATATGGATCCGGGTAGCGCCATAAATTAACCAAGACCATGGAATAAATAAATCAAAATGGTTCATAAATGTATTATTTACATGATGAAAATTTTTCAAAATTATCTTTAATAATTTAATGTTTACATTTATATAATAGTAATGACGACATTTTTAACTTTAGGATTACTATAGGAAATTACCAAACTACCTAAATAACGATTAAAAATCATGTACAAAATTGATAGATCCGAGGACAGACCCAAAGTCTTCTTAGCTTAATACAAGTCATTCAGAAGAATCAACTAATATTACTATGGTTGATAATCATACCTTTCTGCTATATCTAGACATTTATCAGCTTCGTCTTTATTTGATTCCATTTTAGATAGTTCCGGACAATTTTTAGCTATGTAACTAAATAGTAAATTTCTGAAAACATAGAAAAGAACAAATCATTTAACGTTTTTAAGATTTTAATGAATTAATGATAGCATTTTCAATCAATTATTGCTCATGAAGTCCCCTCCCTTAGGTCATTCTAAGAATATTTAAAAGGTTGGGTTTGGCAACGTATTACGCGAAAATGCCGCAATAAGGTATAAACTCAGATTTCAGTCGTCTTCAAGAGAGCAGAGTTTTAAATAGTTTGAAAGTATAATTATTATATAATTAAGACAATCCTTGCTCTGAAAATTGGAAGGAAGTTTTATTTCAAGGTTAAATATTAGGGATATCCCTCCTCCCTTGAAAGTTTTGGAATTAGGGTGCTTACTATTTAGTTACATAGCTAAAAATTGTCCGGAACTTGTATCTAAAATGGAATCAAATAAAGACGAAGATGACAAATGTCTAGATAGCAGAAAGGTATGATTATCAACCATAGTAATAACAGTTGATTCATCTGAATGACTTGTATTAAGCTAAGTAGACTTTTACTGGTTATACTGAGTTGGCCTCTATCAAAAATTAAGGCAAATCGGTCAAAGGGGTTTAATATTTATGATTAGACATACAAACAGAGATTTATTTTACTTTTAAATGTATAAAATAAAAGTAATAAAACATTTATTTACATTATAGTGTGTAAAGAGTCAGGAGACGTACTATAGATGTACGATCCGATTGAGCTACTCGAGCTCAAGTGCACAGATGTATACACTACAGTATACTACCAACTTGTATAGCATTTTGACCACAAAGGGCAATAAACTAAAAGTCCTTTTCTTTTTCATTTTTATATTTTGTCGTTTGAGTACCAAAACATTAATACATTGAGAGAGAAAATAATTGTGTAAAAGGAAGACGACATTAACCCCAAACTAAAGTGCATATGATGTAGTTACAAAGCAAATAGCTTTACTAGTAATTTATTAAATCACTTATAAAGCGAAATGGGCCTGTTTACACTGCACAATTGCTGTTCATTAAACTATTAAAAGACATAATTTTATTCTAAAAGTCGACTTTCTATTACAGAGATTTCTGGTTTTCACTGCATGTATTTACTATATATGTACATAAATAATGAGGATAAATGATGTAGATTAGATGGGTTTTTTAGATGATTGATTTATTCTTTTTAATCATTTACATTATTTTACATCAGTACCACATAATTCACAAAAAGTAATATCTTACAAAAATAAAAATAAATAAGTTACATTTCCTATAACTACATTATTATAGTTACAACAATTATTTTTTAAATGTATTCCACAAAAAAATTCTTAAACTCAAATATTAGCACATATGTATACGGTGAATCCCAAATATATGAATAATACATAGACCGTCATAAGTTTTTTTGATAATTCTAAAGAAACTTTTTTTATTTTTAATTCAAGGTAAATTATTAGCCCTGAAATATGAATGCAATATATAGATTAATATTAAACTTGTTTTTCGGAGGCATTTGATCTTAAATATGTAATACGACATGTTAAAAAATTTCTTGCTATGTATTCATATATCTGGGATTCACTGTAGCAATGTACATACATTTCTATTATTTTATTCAAAATATTAATTAATCCACAACAAAATCCAGAAACATTCAGTTTTTTTAACTATAAGAAGAAAATAGTTTTATCCAGAGGCGCAGTGCAATGAGCTTGGGTGGTTGTCCCTTTGATGCAGCTAAGGGTGGAGCTCGTGGAGCCCCATTAATCATAGGGACGCCCCTCCCTAGCTGCACTGCGCCCGGTCCTAAAGCTCCTTTAAGATAAGGAGGATCTGGGCCCTTGAGATTGAATAACAAAAAGGAACTTTTCCTTTACAAAGCAATTAGTAAAAATAACATTATCTTTTCTCAAAAATTAAACCAAAATCCTAAAATCTCTTAAAATGTTTATCTTAGACGCCCGTCCCCTTCAAATACCCCAAATGTGCCTCTAAAATAACCCCTATAAAGCTTCGCATGTTAAATTAATTTTTAAGTTATAAAGAGCTTTTTTAACTAAAAACATGAAATAACTAAAAAACGTATATAATGTCTTGTGTTTATTGCAACAAAACTTCCAAAATATCAACACTCTTTAGGGTTTCTTTTCTGTCTCTAAAAACAAATATAATAATTATTTACAGAGGCGCAACTAGGGGGGAGGGGCGGCCGGGCACGCGCCCTCCCCTAGCACCTGAGAGGGGGGGCGCGCCCCCCCTGCAGAATGAAAAGAAAGAAAGAATGGCGAAAATCAGTATCACAGGAATAAGAAAACCAATAGAGTTATTACAGAAATTTTATTATACTATAGTTAGTTTTAAAAAGAATATTTTTATCTTTCTCATTCTCAAGGCTAAAGGCTATTGTAAACATTTAATGTAAAAAAAGTTCTGAACTGTATTTTATTTGTGTTGAGTTTATAGAGTACTCGTAGATATCAAACTTTGAATTCTTATGGTAAAAAATTCCAAGTTTGAAATATCAAATGTTTACACCACTCGGTGCAAAGATTTAGGGATTAGAATATTTGAGTTTGTGGCAAAAACTCAGTTCCAAATCTAGAGAAAATTCTGAACCTGGCAAATTTCTAACTGATTATCATATTTGATAACTAACAAGATTTATCTTCTTTGACAGAATTTCTGTAAGATCGAAAATGAATTTAGATTATGAATGTTGGTTAGATCAATCATTAATTTAATAACTTCAAGAGAAAAGGTAACATTATCTGTCCTTTTTCAATGTAGATGATTGAAATTATTATTTTCCTATGTATTTTTATGTTTTTTTTCCAGAAACTATAAATGATTATTTCTTGCAATTTAATCTGTAATTAAACCAGGTACTTAAAAAATTCTTTTTTGCGATTCGCACACATATTCAATGAATTGACTCATATCATTCATTTTACAGCTGTTGGAAGTATAAATTTTGTAAAAACACAAGAACAAAAAATCGATTTGAATTGAACACAAATCTGCATGCAACAACTTAAAATTTCCTTTTTTTCGACTTCAAACCCTTAAAATAGCACTTTTGTTTTTGAAAAATTTTCGAAAAAGGGGGGGAAACCCCCCCTTAACCCCACCCCCCAAACCCGAACAAAATAATATATTGCCTATGTGACCTACAAAATATCGGAAATATATGTTAATAGAGCTATTTTGGGATTTTTATATATCTCGTTTTGTTCAAAGGACTGTTATAGCGTACTATCAAGTAACTCTCCATTTAAATATGATAATGCCCGATTTACAACAATACCCTGGAAATCTTAATCTGATTAAAGATGTGGAAGATACCGTCGTTTTTCTAACTCCAAAAAATGTTTATTTCTGTGAATTTCTACATCGCTTGTTATAAGCAAGAAATGCGCAAATTACTTTCGAGAAAATCATGAATTACTTATAAATACTTGGTCAGACAAAAGTAATACTGAGGTTACCACTGATAATTCGTGTATTTTCAACCTTAATTGCATGAAGGGTCACTTAAAATTACGCTTGCAGCTTTAGTCATAAATAATAAATAATAAATTAATTAATA